ATTGAACAAAGTTTCGTCAATAAATCACCAGTCGTTCTGGCTTAGATGCTTAGATGCCTATTTCTTTTTTATTTCCGTAATATATTTATTAAATAATAATATTTAAGTTTAAACATAAATCGGAAAAAGTGAAAAACAATTCCCATAGCTCTTTTTTTTAAACCGTTTCTATTTAAATTATGGCTTCTGTATTTATGGCATAACGCCTCAATTCACATGAATGATTTCATTGTTGGCTGCCTGGAGGCGAAGTCAATTCGAGGTGGCCCAAAAATCTGACAAAGGCATTCTTGTATGAGCTTATATATTTATACACAATTTCAATTGATTTGCCGTCAATTTCATTTGGCAAAGTAAAAATACCGGAGTTCCAAAATAAGGCAGATATATTTTTATACATATATATAGCATGTGTGTATATAGGGCAGACTTGCCCTGGGCATGATGAATTATTATTTTCCCCCCTTTGCTCTCTCAAACCCACTCCCTTCACGCATTACGCATACGCACCGTGTACTCAAATCCAAGTCGAGGCCGCCTGTCAGCATGTTTGTCCGTTGTTCGCTGTCCATTTGTCCGTTTGTCCGCTGGCCCGACCACAGTCATTCATCATGGTGCAACAACAAGGCGCAACAAGCAGCACATTGTTGTTGTTTGGTTAGCCTGAGCCCCCCATTTTCCGCTCGTTTTTCACCCTATCCCTAAACCTACACTCCTCCATTCGTACCCTAAAAACCACCCATTTTGACATCGATATGGCGTTGATACACACGTTCATCGAACGGACATTGTTAATGTATTCTACGTATATTGTTTGCCTTTTTTTCGGCCCTTCCCCCGCACACACACCCAAAAGTATTCTGAGGCAAAGGCAATTATCCTTGCCTAGCAGCAAACCCAATCCCCAAATGTGCTAATCCATCAATAGGACTCAACGGGAGCTTCAACACTTTGTCTTCTTTTGGATCCCCAAAAAGAACCGGCAGCATTTGTACAAGTTCCATTGTGTGCGAAACGGAAGCTGCAACTTATTACAAGTATTCAATAACTTTGTTTCCTCGAGCAGGAAATGTATTATCCTTAAACAAGAAATACTTTTTTTTGTGTTTTATTTAGAAAATCTATTTCAAAATATGTTTACTTACAGAAATTGTTGTACGAATTTTGTAAAATTATCTCATGTCGTTTTGTATTTTTTTTAATGTTCTAAACATTCTTTTTTTGATCGGGAGCCTTACAAATATAGAAAAACGTTGCCTTGCAATCATAAACATGCAGCGCAGCCCCTTCATATTTCATCCACCAAGCATCGCAGTTCTCGTTCCCCTCTTGATTATTCGGCTCTCCCTCATGCCACAAGTTCGATGCCACTGGTTGTCCACTCGAGTGCCACACATGTTTATCCTTTTGCACCAAGTCGCTACCGGAGGTCCAAGAAGGTTCAATTGTGTCCTTATCATTAAGGTACTTAGATATCAGTTGCAATTCCTCAAGGCTTTCATATGCTATTAGGTCTGCTACCATTTGTCGACAAGATTCGTAGGCAGCAATCCAATTCTTCTGAATCTTACTAAAGAAGTAATAATTTGATCCGATCTTGATGAATGGGTCTGTTGGAATATACACAAATTATCTTTTAAAGCACCGACTTGGAAAAAACACTTTAATACAAACCATCAACAACATTCGGTGTAATTTTGTATGCCGCAGACAGAGAAAAAATTACCAAGAAGACACCCAGCACAGTATACTTTAAAAACATTTTTGTAAACTATAAATACGCTTGTTTGATGCACTTCTTTTATACTGATTTAGGTACAAAATAAATGCCAAATAATGTCAATAGATAAGATAAATGATAAGTAAGCATTATTCAACAACAGGCAAACTGTTAGCAAACAAATCAAATATAATAAATGATATCATTAAAGAAGCTTTTCAATTTTATTGGTATAAAGTTCTTTACAATCTTTCACGGTTGCGGGCAATTTAAATATAATTATAGAATTTCAATGTAATTGCGCTGCAGAAGATTAGGCCAATCTACCAGATTATAAAAGAAGCTGTTTTTGGCTGCGTTGCCTTGCAAATATAGAGACGAGGTACACTGCATTGATAGTCATTTAGCCCACCCACTCCTTTGTTGATCCACAAATGATCGCAGTGCTCCTTTCCCTTTTGGTTATTTGGCTCTCCCTTATGCCACAAGTTTGATGCCACCGGTTCACCGCTCGAGTGCCACACATGATTACCCTGCTTCGCCAAGTCGTTACCGGAGGCCCAATAGGAGTCAACTATGTTGTTATCGATAAGGTACTTAGATATCAGCTTCAATTCTTCCAGGCTGTCATATGCGATCAGCTCTGCTTCCATTTGTCGACAAGATTCGAAGGCAGCGTACCAATTCTTCTGAATTTTACTTTGAATAAAATAATAATTTGATCCGATCTTGACGAATGGATCTGTGCTTATGTTCAGGTAACCAGGAATACCTAATTGGAATATAGACAAATTAAGCTTTAAGACATACACTTGGAAAAAACAACTTTAATACAAACCATCAATAACAATCGGTGTTATTTTGTAGGCCGTAGACAAAGAAATGATTGCCAAAAAGGCACTCAGTGCATTAAACTTTAACAACATTTTGTAGTTACTATAAATTTGCTTGTTCAACACGTCTCTTTTATACTAAATTGGCTGCAGAAATATGACAGAGCTATCTTAAAGATAAGAAGATTACATAGTTAAATGTTATACAAAAGATTTAAGTAGGCTTTTTGGTATACCCTTATCACTTGGTATCACTTACCATCTAAGCCCTTCAATCATAGGGCCCTTTGACTCATATTTTCAAAATGGTTCGAGTAGCTTATTAACTCATATAACTCATGACTCAGGAAAGATCTACCTCAATAATTTAATATTATTTACAAGAGGCAAAGAACTCTGATACAATAAATATTATTATTAAAGAAGCATTTCTCATTCCTTGGTATTAAGTTCTTTTGAAACTTTCTCGTCCGTGTACAAAAGTAGAAGAGACAAATTTCGCAGCCATTAGTGGAATTCAAATATAATTGCCCGGCAAAAGAATCGGCCAACTGTGGGGCCATTAAAAATCACTCGAAACTGCTTAGACTGCAAATTGTGTTTTACATTTTTTCCCTCATTATTTGCACACGGAAGTTGGACACGAATTATGGCCAATGTATAATAGCCATTAAAACTTTCTTGTTTGCCCCGGCAAGTTGGCGGTGGGTGGAAAAGCGGGAAAGCAGAAGCACCTAGCAGGAAAATGGGAAATGGTAAATGGAAAATGGAAAACCGAAATAAGCCAAGGTGGCCGGAGCTTGAGGTGGAATACGAGTGTTAGACGAAAACTTTTGCAATAATCATTTCGCTGCCTGACTGACTGTCGCTGTCCTTGGCAGGACAAAGCGTTGGCAGGACACACATAAAGCTGTGTAAAACAAAAATACAAAAAATCCTGGGGAAGGAAAGAACAACTCGGATAGAAAAATTCAGCAGAGCGGAGCTCCGCAATTGCGCGACTGTCAATACGAAACGAACAATTATATGGTGGCTGAAAAGGGGGAGGGAAAAAGCTGGAGGAGGAGCATCAGGAGCTGACCAACTAGCTGCCAATGACAATGGACAATGGCCACACTCACACACACACCTACACACCCAAAGGCAACATTGTCCTTCTGAATTATTGAGCGTGCAACTTGTTGAAAATCCAAGGATACCAAGGATATCAAAAGGGAGATGCTGCGGGCGAACGCGAATTCTATGTGTTTGTGTGTGTGTGCTACCTTAATTTACTCATTTCAACAAAATGTTAAAAATTTACCAAGTTATTTTCCCACGGGAATGTGGCCTAGAGAAAGGGGAGGGTCTGCAAAAAGAGCCAAAGCGCTGAAAACAATTAAAAAGTTTCAGGCGCTGAGGAATGACGAAGAATGCGCCAAGAAATGTGGATGGGTTAATGGCTTTTTAATGGGTTTGGGTTGTAAGGGGTTGAGGATAGCTTTCCTAGAAATAAAAAAAGGTTTTGAAGCGTGGAAAAAAAGGGGGGATGTCCTTGGGAATTAACACAACTTTGAGCATGCATTTTCAATCTTCAATTTCTTGCCACCAATCAGTCAAAATTTTTTCAATCAACAAGGGAACATGAATTAGCTAGAATACGAGTGAACTTTATTTTTTAAGTTGTACCCACTCTACATTTTATGTAGCTATTTAGATGCCACACCTTCCCCACAAGTGGATATCCGTTAATTTCATTGGACCATTTGCAACAGCAGCTCACAGCTGGCCCGAATGGCAGTCACGTCGATATTGTATGGCCAATTTGTTCGTGACTAACACTTTCATGGGCTGTTAGCCAAGTCCGGTGGAGGAGCATTAAACTGCCACAGTTTGCTCGCCAAATAAGCGGAGATGTGGCCAAGTAGCCACAGGGAATAAAAGCCAGTGATGTATTCAGTGAGTTGAACAATTGAATCTTGATTTTATGTCCTTTGGAAAACTAAAGAGGATTAAAGGAGCTTAGCGTTCGATGGCAATAGGCATGTCCCCATTTTTGTTTTTTAAATTATACCTAAATTTAAATTAATTAATTATATTATATTAAATTTGTTCTTCTAATTCCACGAATTCGTGTAGTCATATCAATGAACCGTATCAGTGGTACCAATAAAAATCTGCCAGTTATCGTGGGAACCTCGCACATATTTATTGTGTCTTCGAACCCATACAGAAGGCAAAATTTCCGGCAAATAAATAGTGGCAAGGGAATGACCAAGCTTCTCAAAAGCGGCTAATGATAACAAGAAAATATATTTACAGCAGAATAATTATTTCCTATATTTTCAAAATATTTCCTATATTTCAAAGTATTTCCTATATTTCAAAATATTTTCTATAAATAAAAAAATTTTCATTTTGTAGATTTTTTTTCTGAAAATGATTTCTTCTTTCGATTTCGCTTGCAGAAAATGTTTGAATAGAGATGGCCAAACTTTCACGACGTGCCTCGTCGTCTGCAGCAACGCCCGCCACAGCAACAACAGCAAGTACAGCAACTACAGGAGCAACATCGGTCAACCCAAGTCATGCCACAGGCGCCGCACAGCAACGAGAGGAGCAGCAACAGCCACTGGGAGAAGGTCAGCAATATACAAAGCAGCAGCAGCAGTTGCAACATCAGCAGCAGCAACGCATTGCACGTCGTGCCGCCAGCAACATCAACATCAACAGCAGCAGCAGCAACAACAACCGACCCCAAGCAGCAGCGCTCATTGACACGAGTCCAGATGTCCTCCATGAGAATCCACCGCCATCACCGACACCGGCGGCGCTTTCCAACCACAGCAGCAACAGCAACAGCAGTAGCAGCAACAGCTACCACAGCAACACTGCCACGCCCACAGCACCCGCCCACGCCCACGTCACGGCCACGCCCTACATGCCGCTGCTGCCGCCGGGCGAGCGGAATCTGACGGAGGCGGAAAATGCGGCGGAACGGGCCAGGATCCGGGAGGAGTTCTTCGCCACCTATGACGTGATGACGGGCGTCCGGATAGCCGCCACTTTGGGCGGCTTCTTCGGCCTGATGGTCTTCCTGATCGTCTGGAAGAGCCGGAGCAGCAGCAACGAGACCCTGAAAGTCCTCAAGGATCCCAAAATGGCGGCAGTGGCCGCGGTTTGCATGCAGGAGGAGGAGGAGCGCGAGATCCACGACGCCATCGTGGCCACGGGAATGTCCATTTATCCGGATGAGTACGATGCGATGGTCTACCGCCGGCAGCGGATGCTCTCGCTGGGCAACGTGAGTGCTCCGCCGCTGCTGAACCGGGGATATCGCTGTGGTTCCATGGGTAAGTCTTCCGGGAAGGGTATTTAACTAATTTATTAGAAATTTATCATGAATAGGAGTCGATTTGCCTATATATTTTAGGAAATAATTTTCCTAAATATAGAAAAGTGTTTCTGTAAAGATAAATAGTTGTCTAAAATTAATAAAATTTACCATAAATTTGAGAAATTGTTTCTTAAACCCACAAAGTAATTTTCTTAAACGTAGATTTTTTTCTTAAAACTAGAATTATGAAAGCGAAATCACCAATGAGTTAAAAACATTTTTGGAGGTTCCTTTAAGGAACTGAAACTTACTTTTCTAAAATCAAGAAAATCTGCCATTTTGAGAATTTTTTTTAAAATCCAGAGAGTAGGTGCTTTTTTCAAACATAGCCTTTTTTAGAAAAAGTTTTTTTGAAAACTAGAAATATGAAGGCAACATCACCATTAAGTTAAACAATTTTGGGCAAACCATAAAAAATCACCATATATTTAAAAAAAGAAAAATATTTTTCGAAATTTAAGATAGTTAATTCATCCGTTTCTATGGTTTTCTGAAATCCAGAAATATGAAGGCAACATCAACATTAAGTTAATCAATATTGGGCAATCCATAAAAATTCACCATATATTTAAAAAACAAAAACCAATTTTTCGAAATTTAAGATAGTTTTTCAATCCGTTTCTATGGTTTTTTAAAAAAAACTTTTTTTTCCCAATTTGTGAAGTTTAGAAATTTTTAAATTTAGGAAAACATTTTTTTTACGTGTTTAGATAAAATATAATAAAAAGTTCACGTTATTCCCGTTCCAGGTGGCGTCGGCGTGGGTGTTCCCGTGGGCTACAGCTACCTGCTGGAGCCGCCGCGTCGCTTCTCCTACTCCTCCATGTCCGGCGGCGGAGGAGGCCCGCCCGGTTCCGGTCACGTGGGTCGTCGCAAGAGTGGCTCGGAATCCTCGCGCATCTTCAGCAACTATCCCATGGGCGGCAGCTTTGGAACGGATGACTACTTCGTGGAGACGGAGGACGAGCTGGAGGCGGAGGAGTACCTGCAGCCAGGTGCCGCGGCAGATGAGCCGGACGAACGGCAGCTTCACCAGAGGACGGACTCCACGCGCAGCAAGCCGGGATTTCTGTCCGTACCGATGGCGGTGAGTGAAAGGGGAGAGTTTAGAGCTCACTGATCTTATGCAATGAATCCACCTCCTATGAACCCACAGGGTCACGACTCGCGGCGCAGCAGTGCCATGACCTGCTGCAGCACCGATAGCTCCTACCTGGAGCGGCGCACCTCCGCCTACATGGGTGGCTGCATGGGCAACCTGCCGACGACGCTGCAAAGGAAGCTATCGACTGCCTCGCGGACATCGAGCATCGACAACTGGGACTACTACTACCCGGATATCCAGGTTATACAGCCGACGCCCAAGGCCTCGCCCTGTCCCTCGGAGCGCAGTGTCCACGAGGGATCGATACCGGGATCGAGGAGCTCCTCCAATCTGAGTGCCAGCAACATCAGGCGAAAGCACAGCATCGTGTCCTACGATCCGGATAGTGCGCATTCCGGCCGGGAGCAGCAGATCCATTCGATCAGTGCGGACACCGTGGACGTGTATCCTTATAACCAAGAGGATCTTCCCAAGCCGGTGCAGTCGGCCCCGCCCACTGCGTTCCACTTCTGCGACTCGCCCTCCGAGGAGCTGCGTCTGGGTGTCCGGCGGAAGCTCACTTTGGTGGAGCTGCAGCGCAACGAGAGCAACAACAATAGCTTTCCCTACACGGCCAATGCAGCGGTTCCTCCTGCTGCTCCCTCAACTGGGGTGACCAGTTCCAGCGTGGACAGCAGTGTGGACAGCACTCCCGCCAGTCTGGAGCGGCTGAATGGAGCGGGTAGCGCCGGAAGCGCCAGCTTGGCCACCATTTCGGTGTCCAACAAACTGCCGCCGGCGCTGATGGGCAACAACAATCCGGAGAAGCGAGCTCCGTTGGCCTCGTTAAGTTCCTTCAAGATCTCCTCGCTGGAGTGCCCCGACTCGGAGCTGCGCTCCCTGGACGAGGATTCGGTTTTTGGGCTGGAGAGTCCGGCGGACACGGACGATGATATGCAGCAGCTGAGCAGCGACAGCGAGGAGCAGGAGGCGGCTGCCCAGGCGCAGGCTCAGGCCGCCTCCCTAATCCGGTCAAGTGGAGGAGGAGGTGGTAATGAAACGAAGCCCAATCCTCTGCTGCCCGTCAAGCGGATGAGCCTGACCAGCTCGGGGGGATTGCCCAGTGGAGTAGCGGGTGGTGGAGGAGCGCGACCACGGAGACCGCTGCTCCAGAGGCATCGCACCATCAGCGTCACCTCCAGCGATCGGGTGGCGCTGATCAATCAGCCCCTGCAGCTGCAGCAGTTCCACATGGGCCTGCCCATCCAGGCGGAGGCGCCACCGCTGGAAACCCACTTTGGTGCCGTGGTTAGCCAGAGTCCTCCGCGGCGTGCACCGCTGCTGCAGCAGTACAGTGATCCGCAGACGACGACGACGACCACAACGACCACGACGACGGAGGAGGACACCTGCTCCACGCTGAACACGGAACTGGGTCTGGTGGAGGCTTCCTCGGGAGCAGCACTTGCCGGCGGTGGAGAGTCAGCCAACCAAACGCAGTACAGCAGCCTCAACACGGTGATCAGCATGGGAAGGTCCACGCCCAGTCCCATTACCATTCCCATTCCCATCTCCGTTCCCCAACCAGCCAAGCAGCCAGCTCAACTGCCAACGAATGCCATCCGGCTGCAGCACGATCCCTGCCCCTCGTCCGTCTCCGACTCGGTGATAGCCACCCGGCAGCAGCAGAGCATCTGCATGCCCGCCTCCCTCAAGGATCTCATCCTGCGCAAGGGAGCGGGTACAGCCAGTCGGAGTGCCACCAATTTGAGCTGTGAGAGTGGAACTGCGCCGCCCGCCGTCATGCTGGAGCTTCCCCTGATCCGGCTGCCCAACGAGGAGGAGGAGGAGGAGAAGGAGCAGCACGAGGGGCAGGAGCAGCAGGACGGCGAGAAGCGCGATCCCAGCCTGCCCGGAACTTCCAGGAAATGGTCCAAGGAGACACTCTTCTAGCCCAGCTGGTTTCCACTGCTCCCACGAAGGCAGTTCCCCGGGCCGGGCCACTATTTAAGAGCTTAGCAACTGACTTTGAACGCATGCTGATGGGATCTGCAGTGAAAGCGCCCCCTAGAGGACAAAATTGGAACTGAAGATTCCTTTAAAACTCCCAAAAACTTCGAAAACTACACTCAAAAAATTGTTCGCCCTGAATTTTAGAAAATTTGATTCACTGGCGATTTTCTTTCAAAGGCCTAGCACTCACTTCAATCAAAAAGGCAACGAAACGAAAATCTCTATACAAAAATGACAGGCGGAAAATTTCGTGATCAAAAATTTGTATGGAGATTTTCATTTCATAGGCTTTTTGATTGAAGTGAGTACTAGGCATAAAATAAAACAAATTTCAACTGGTAAAGAAAACTTTATTCAAGTTAATGTAAAATTTAAAAAATACAAGATATTTCCCTGAAATATAGAGAAAAATCGGCAGTGAGCAAATTTCTAGAATTCAGGGCGAAACATTTTTAGAGTGTATCTTCCGTTGACCTTTTATTTCCGGATATTAGAATCCTAAGTACTTTAATCTTAACATCGAAACATTTCTCGAAAATTACTTAAAAAACCCAGGAGTTTTCAAAATATTCCCATTTCTGGGGGAGCTTTCACTGTAATTTCGGTAGTCGCATGGTCTGGCAACCAACTTCCTGGGTTGCTCGAGACCCGGAACTAAGAAACACGAGTATTGACGAGTATTTAGGCATAGATAAGGAGGATTAGATTAAGCGCATTTAGTCAAAACATAAGTTAGTCGGGTCTGGCATGCGGAGTTACAGTAGTACATGCCTACTAATCATGACGAGAGTAATGAACAGCAGCATGAACAACAACGTATTCGTACTTAGAGACTGTTGTCTATTATTGTTAATAGAACTCTAAAAGTTAAGTAGTGATACTCGGATTTATTTTTCACACTTTATCTATAAAACCAAAGTGCAGGCGTACGAATATACATGTATATATTTGTATGCGGCCCCATGCTGAGAAGAAGGTTTATATATTTCTATAGGTATACCGCCAGCCGCCAGAAAACATATATATATCGGTCTTTCTATCTCTGTCTCTCACTCTCCCCATTACGGAATGAAAACTCTTCTAGTGTCTTAAACAGCAGCCAAATACTTAAAGTATTGTAATTTAGAAATTTTATAGATTGCACAACAACTTCGAATCAAGTCGAATCGATCGAGATCGGGATCGCAACAGAAGTACTCTGACAGAAGACCTTAAGGACCTCAGAAGGTCCACCCGAAGATGCCTAAATGTCTTTTACGCGTAGCTAGACAAAAGTTGCAGACTTTCTAGGAAAATTTCCGCATTTCCCCGCTCCTGCCTCTTCGAAAACGAATTGTTGGAAAATAAAATAGAGTTGTTGTCAGCATATAGAGTTACAAAGCGAATATAAAAATTGAAAACCAAAAAAAAAATAAACAAACAGAACATATATGTAAACAATTTCCTAACTCATCCCACCTACGCATCTCTATTTTTCTATGAAAAGCTAAAGCCAAGGGAAGGAATGCATACGAAAGGGGAAATAAATCAAATAACTTGTATTATTCAAATCAAAATACATAATTAGTGGTCGAAACGCCAGATAATTTGATAATAGAGCTGCATTTTGAGGTGCCCTTAGCCCCCAGAGACTTTCTCATATGCCTGAGCCTCAGCCTGAGCCTGATTTGTACCTTTCCTATGCATAAGTATATATTTATATACACCACACATGTATAAATCGAGCCCTATTTGAATATTTTTTAATACTAGTAAGTATTTTGTACGACGAGATCAACTCGAAAGGCGCCTAAGAAATGCAAAATGGTATATCAAAAGGAAACCCCCCAAAAACAAAACAAAACAAAACACTTAATTGTTGGTTATATGCTGAAGAACGTAAGAGTAAATGAAAATTCGAAAATATTGTAATTGTAGCGTTGATTTGTTTCAAATGAGCAAAAATATACATATAACTAATTACGTAGATAAATATACATACCTATATTTAATGAAACCAATGAGCAAACCTAACTTGTGTAAGTCAAAGAGTAGCGGAACCAATTGTTAAACCTAAGCATAATAAATCTGTAATAAAACTGAGCTGTTGTATTAAATGAACAATAACAATGTTGACGACAAAGTTTGGATATCGACAAACTTCGAATACGAGTACTTAGTGTTTTTGCTGGAAAACTCTTCATTCTTCTCTTCTTCCCCTTTTGGTTGCGATGTTTTCTTTTATACTTTTGTACTAGCACCTTTTCCTTTCCTAATCCGACCTGATTTCCTGATAATGTTCATGAACTCGATGTCTATATGTACCTCTAGCTAAACTCAAAGCATAATTGATCAAATTGGTAAACGAAAGCAATTCGAAATTAAACAAAATATGTGTACTACTAACGCGCAAAACAGAATTATTAATGCAAGATTACTTTAAAGAATGGATTAAAATTTTTAAAAAGTATGAGCTATTAAAGAACAAACTTAGTTAAATGTTATATATATGAAAAACCAATAAAATTGATGTACATGTTAGCGATATTAATGAGAAATGTGACAAGTGAAAAATAAACCAGAAGAAAATACATATACACAAGTTGCCAAGAGACATTCGCTTCTATTTGGGATTCTCAATTTGTTACGCCTAAAGGGGATACATTAAACTAAGATGACGGGGATGCTGGATGCCCACTTTAGTATCTGTACTTGGTGGAGTAATCCTTCGGGGAGACGACGAGACCCCGGCCCTTGCGGGCACCCCTGTACACCGTTTCCACGATGTCGATCATCTCCTGCTTGTCCTCCAGTGGCCAGTTGATCTTGTTGTTGTTACCGGTGCCCAGATCGATCATGATGTGCTTGTTGCGGAAGAAGAACATCACCGTGCAGGGATCGTACAACTCGTACATCTTGTTGAAGTCCGGCACCTCGGTGATGTCCACCAAGTAGATGACCGCGAAGTTCTTCACCTTCTCGGCGATGCTGTACATCACCTCGTCCATCTTCATGCAGGCGGGGTCCCAATCGTGGCCGAAGCGTATAACCTGGAGGAGAATCAATGCTGGTTACTCATGTGGATGGACGACCAAGTGGTGCTCCACTGGGGTATGGAATTTTTCCTTCTCCGACTACTCACAACCACGCGGTCCTCCTCGGAGAGAATGGCCTGGTCCACCTGCCAGCCATTGTGCAAATGTGGGAGCATATACGACATCCTGGCGAGTTATTTTACTTTAAGTTCGCGGAGAAAAATTAAAAACGTAAACAAAGTCTTAAAAATTTGAGATGGACAAGTGCCGATAAATTTGACTCTCTTAAATATCGATATTTTATCGCGGCGTGTTGCCAGTGTGAACGAAGACCTGTTTGTAACGACTTTTCAAAAAGGTCGTTTAACAAACACAGCAAAAAAATTGTAATTATTAAACAGCTGTACTTTAAAAAATTACATCTTAATTAGTACATGGCCATTTTTAGCAATAATGGCAACTTTTTTATTGTGATTATGTAGATTAACAACGGAAGTGGGCTAAAGCGTATTAATCTACCAAACAATAAAGGAAGTAGACAAATATAGTAAAAATAAAACAAATTAGACAATTTTGACATCATTTTGATGGCATGCATTTTATTATGATTATTTTGATTCTATAGGGTTTCCATAACTTAATCTACCACACGATAAAAGAAGCTGTTTTTGGTTGTGGTGCCTGGCAAATAAAGAAATGAGTTTTCGTGCATACATCGTCGTTCAGTCCAGCATTTGTTGATTAATTCTAATATGAAACGTATATCGATTTTACATAATGTAATATCAATTTTAACTTGATATGGGGCAAGGTAAATTTGATATGGTCGAAATGAATATTTAATGTAAAAACGATTTGGATCTATCTACCACACAACAAAGTAACCCGTTTTTGGCTGGGGGGCCTCACAAATGTAGTTATGAGTTGAAATGCATTTTGCGTCATTTAGTCCACGCAATCCGTACCTGAACCACAAACCATCGCACCGCTCATTATTATCATCATTACTTGGCTCTCCCGGAATCCACAAATCCGAAGAAACAGGCTGTGCATTCGAGAACCAAACATGTTTATGCTGCTCCGCCAAATCAGTTCCAGCGGCCCAATAAAAATCACCGTCTTCCGAATTATTTAGGTATTGAGATACCAGATTCAATTCTTCTACGCTTTCAAAAGCGACTAATTCTGCTTCCATTTGTCGACAAGATTCGTAGGCAGCATACCAATTCCCTCTTAGATTGCGTTCAAAGAAGTAATAGCCATTTCCGATCTTTACAAATGGTGCTATATTAATATTTATATTACCAGGAATACCTAATTGGAATGCACAAAAATTATTTATCAACATTAAACACCTGGTAAGCACAATGTAGTATCCACCTTCAATAACATTAGATGTTATATTGTAGGCCGAAGACAGGAAAAATGCTCCCAAAAAAACACAGAGTCCAAGAAACTTTAAAAACATTTTGGCCAGATTGAAATGTCTTTTGGCGTTCCGATCCTTTTATAGGGTTTTCGCGTAGTAAAAATTAGGAAGTACTTTTAAAGATAAGATAAATGAGTATTAGTCGTTGTTCAATGAATATTCTCATAACGTATTCTTATCATCTTATCTTCTTAAGTAGGCTATAGCCGTTTTCACTGGAATCTTTATCGCAAGAGTCGTTACTTTACAGTAAAAATCAATAGATCTACTTAAAGTTAAATTGTCTTATTTTCAATTGTATGCTTTATTGTTCAAATGTTCGTCGATCATTTATAAGATTCATAACTATATTATCCAATGGTCAGTCTACCATACAATAAAACAAGCTGTTTTAGGTCGGGTGCCTGGCAAATATAGTAATAAGATTTTCCGCATCCATCGTCATTCAGCCCAATAGCTGTGCTGGATATCCACATATTATCGCAGTGTTCATTATTATTTTGATTGTTTGGCTCTCCAATGCGAAAAAGATCCGAAGAGATGCGTTGTCCGTTCGAAAACCAAATATGTTCACCTTGTTTCGCCAAGTCAGTGCCAGCAGTCCAAAATTCTTTACCCTCATTTGCTTTAAGAAGGTATTGATTAATCTCCTTCAACTCCTCCAAGTTATTAAACGCGACTAAATCGGCTTTCATTCGTCGACAAGACTCGTAAGCATCATACCAATTCTTTTGAACTTTATCTTCAATAAAGTAATAATTGGATCCGATCTTGACGAAGCCAAATACACCTAATTGGAATGTACATAAATTAGTCCTTAAACACAAAAAAGCTTGTAAATACAATTTAAGACCTACCATCAAAACCATTAGGTGCTATGGAGAGGCCCCCAGAAAGCGAAATTGCTCCCAAAAAAGCGCCGAGTCCAACTAACTTATACAACATTTTGAGCAAATTGTACGACTTTGGTGGGTACCGAACCTTTTATAAGTTTTTCGCGAAAGAAAAATTATTTTGAACAATAAGATAAAGACTATTGATTCAATAAATATTTTCTCACATTCAAATGTACCTAATCTTCGTTATTGAACTTTAATTAAAACCAGATAAAGTGACTCGGATATTAATTATGGTGGTGTTATTGCATCAGGTGTTTTTGCATGCAATTAATTGGCTGGGTTGCCTCGCAAATATAGCAATGAAGCATTCCGCAGTTCCCGTCATTCAGTCCAATCGTCTCGGATTCGAACCACAAACCATCACAGTGTTCCCCACCATCTTTATTGTCCGGCTGTCCTGGGCACCACAAATCAGAATACACGGGCTGTCCATTCGAGAACCACACGTGACTACCCTCCTCCGCCAAGTCAGTTCCAGATGCCCAATACATTACATCCGTTTTGGAATTCAAAATGTACTGAGATACCATATCAAGTTCCTCTACGCTTTCGAAGGTGACTAAATCTGCCTTCAATCTTCGGCACGATTCATACGCAGCATACCAATTCTTTTTAAGATTGTTTTCAATGTAGTAATAGCCGGATCCGATCTTTACAAATGGAGCTGTATTTATATTAAAAAATTAGGAATGCTTTGGTAAAGGATTTTTAAGACCCACCTTCAATAAGATTAGATGTTACATTGAAGCCCGTAGACAGGGAAATGGCTCCCAAAAAGGCACAGAGTCCAAGAAACTTAAAAAACATTATGGATAGATTTTAATAATTGTGGTTCAATACATCCCTTTTATAGATTTTTTTGCGAAAAAATAAAGAAGTACTTTTAGACGATAAGATAAATGTTTACTAAATTATAAATATTCCTATATCCTTATCATCTTATCTCCTTCGATAGAATCAATAATCAAATTTAATTAAAAATCGTTATTTATTTTGTGGTAAATTAAGCTTTTATTAGCCATTAAGTATTTAGTAGCGTCCTTATCAGTTCAAGTATTTCTGCCTAAAGCTATCGATGTGTTCCAGCACCCTGACCGTCATCTCGTTGATATACTCGTCCCGACCCTGTTCGGTGAACGGATCGGGAGCACTGCGTCGCGAAACGTAGTGATTGGGCAGGTTGACCTTGTGGCGACCGATGGACTTGATGATCAGCCACAGGATGTAGAAGCTGAACCACACGGTGAAGTACAGCGGAATGTACCAGAGCTTGCGGCCGATGTAGAAGTAGCTGTACTTCTTCACACGTGGCTCTGGTGGCGGCGGAGGAGGTGGAGGTGGCTCCGTCGGTGGCGGCGGTGGTGGTGGTGGCGGTGGAGGAGGAGGAGGCGGCGGTGGGTGGTGAACGTGGTGGTGATGATGCGGGTGATCGTCGTAAATCACATCCGGATAGGAGTCATCCGGGTAGGAGGGCTGGTAATCAAAGTGACTGGGGTAGTGATCGTGGTGGTGATCATGCACATGATCGTGATCCGGCGCATGGTCGTGATCGTGATCGTGATCCTCCGGCTTGGGAGCCGCCGACTCCGGGTGAGATTCCAGCCAGCCAGGCGGTGGTGTGGCATACTCCATTTGGGGATCGTACTTGTGATCGTCGTCGGGACGCGAGCCATCGTTGTGGAGCGCTGGTAGGGAGCCATCGTCGCCTCCACCACTGTCACCTCCATCTGCAGCGGGACCCATATCCATGCCATCCGCAGGAGCAGCACCGCCGGCATCCTTGCCTTCCTGATCCTTCGACGGTAGATTATCCATGGCACTGGCGGGCAGAACTCCAATCGTATCATCATTGCCGGGATCATCATCGGCCGGAGGAGATGCACTCGCCATGCTGGCCGCCGTATCCTTGTCACCATTTCCATTTGCCAGTGGTCCCGGGTACTTGTAACCCGAGAAGGAGGGTCCTGGATAGTTGTATCCCGCGTTGCTCAGTCCTCCCGATGCGGGTGGCAAGTAACTGGTCACGGTATCCGAAGGCAGGGCTGCTTTGGGATCCTGCGACGGCGATGGATACTTGGTGTTCAGCGGCGGAAAGGAGTAGGCATCGCTGGGAGCCACATAGGAGTTCACCGAACTCGATCCGGCGGCCACTTTGCCATCCTGTCCGTGGGAATGGTCATGACTGTGATCGTGACTGTGATCGTGATTGTGATTGTGATTGTGCCCCTTGAACAGATTAGCGGCGGTTCCTTCGCCAGGAGTGAAGCGATCACTGAATCCTAAGGATAAAGGAAAATAATATTATTTAAAAACTTGATATAAAACGATTGGTTAGACGTTTTTATAAGAAATGTATGATTAATGATAAGTTTGGTGCAAGAAATATATTTTTAATAAGTTGATTTCTCTATAGATCGTTTTATCCAAAACCTTGAGACTACTTTTAAATAATAACCTAATCTTTGGAAATTTCTAATTTAAATTACATTATTTATTTTCATGATAATGATACCTTTTTTATAACTGGGCCTCGATGATTGATAGCGAGATGGTTTTCGTGATGATGAGGAGTAGTAAGTGGGTCTACCTTGGGGATAAATACGGGTCTTTGAGGGAAGGGAGTTGTACTGCTGTGGCTTGCCGCCCCTCAACAACGGAGTTATCAGTTGGCCGAAGGGATACGCTGTCCTGTAATCCACGGCACGTCCTGTGGAGGCTCCTTCTATCACAGGATCCGGCTGGTCCTCTGATACAGGCGCAGGATCTGGAGCAGGAGCAGGATCACTGACTCTTCCCGTATCTAATGCAACCAAGGGGGTCACAAACACCGGGGAGTTGGTTGTTCCCTCGGGTTGATGGTTGTATGGAATGGGTGGCAGGGTTGTCGTGGATGTGGACGTTATCTCAGGAACTCCAGTGGTGGATACCACATTCTCACTCGAGTTGAAGCTGCGTAGGCAAGGATTCTCTAGAGACTAGATCACAAATCCTCAAGCACTATTCACTTACGTTTTCGGGAATATCAGATCCGTATTAAGGGCCTTGAAAATGCGTGGTCCCTGATCGTTTTCTGCTCCAGTGCCACTGACCAAAACTTGGGAGTAGGCTTGAATCCGGACACATCCAAGAAAGATACTGAGACACACCAGCAGCGCCCAATTGGCGCCTTCTAATGGCATCGTAAGATAATTTATCTGTATATCGTTTCAGGACACTTTTTCTATATTTCCTTATCCGCACACTAAACACTGAATATCCTTTTGGGATACTTTCTTCATATCCGCCGAAGATCGGAAATAAAGCCACCGTACCGTGTCGCGCGAAATCGTCGAATACAACGGAGCACTTGGATGACCATTGGTTTTATCCGACGCCGTACAGCCGAGTTCGTGATTTCGTTTTTTCATGACCCAGATTCCGGGCAAAAGGTGCTACTAGAAGTGATCTATATACCATCGATCTGAACGGGCAGAACAGCACTTTCATTTCGTCGACTTCCGAGGTGCTAATTATTTGTTACTCCACATTTCTGGTGGCATCTTCCGTTATGTGCTCCCGGCTGCCTGGGATGTGAATATCTGGAGTGTGGAGTGTAACTACACTTCTAATCCATGGCCATACGGTGGTCTGCTTATGTGGTTCGGGGCGTGTGGCTCCAATTTTGCAACTAATTAAGAACATTTCGGATCGTCAGGCATGTGGGGTACATATTGTCTTCCTACTTTATGACTTTTAATAGAAAAATAATAAAAATAATTAAATAATTAGATATTCCATAGACCATAGAAATTATTATTATACCAATAAATATTAAAAAATATTTTAATATACACTTAAACCCTTTTCAAAGAAATTACCTTCGATTAAAAACATTTTATATCATTCATGAAAAATCCAAAGAATTCCGAACCGGGCAAACATTCACATTTTTGGCGCCCCAAAGGTGTTAATTTTTAACGTAGCAGTCGTATTAATATATGTTCTATCACCTACTTCAAACGAATTCCATGTGTAACCCAAATTAAGAGATTTCTAGTACGAATCAAAGACAATAATATTTGTCAACTTCCTTGGCATGGATGTGGGTCAGTAACTGCGGCACTTGATGCAGCGTGCCTCTCCCAATTAGCACTTAGCAATTCAGGCGTGCTATATATTGTTTTCCCTACTAGTTCACGGCTCAATTTTAAGGCATCTGCAGATAACCAGTTCTGAGCAAGCCACTTTCCCAACTAGCCCATTCAAAATGACTGCAACTTTTACTTGTTTAAAGATGGGTTTTCAGTTTTACCATACATATATATTTCATACAATAATTGCAAGTCTTTTAAATGTTAGTACACAAAGTTATCGCTCATTGAAACAAGGAACTAGAAACAAACCGTTTTAGAAACAAGAATAACAAATGTGCTTCGTTACTCGATGGGGTTGGTGGGGTCACAAACTAAAATAAACACGTGGAAGTACAAGTGGGTAAAATAACCTAAAGACAAGTCAAACAAATGCTGGCAGCAGCAGCCACGGCTATGAATACCCCAATGGTTAGTCTGAATCGTAAAAGTAAGTAAAGAAGAAGCATGTTGAGTGATGGTGTTATATACAGCCTTGGCACTAAGTACATGTGTAACATTGGCGTCTTTTCGTTTGGTAAGTCTATGCCGTGATTTTTAGAAGGGCGAATTCATGCCCAATTTGGTGCCAAAGTCAAGACGCGCCCGACGCTGATATCGCGTGTTGACCCTAAAATAAACAAGATAAACAATTAATAATGAAGTACGACAATAATAAAGTTATAACCCACTTGTTCTCCTGGAACTTTGCCAGCTCACTGACAATCATACTCAGCAAACTTCCGCCAAATAGAATCAGCAAGGCCACCCACAGCCTGGGCAGCTGTTCCCAGAAATCCTCCAGAAACAGTTGCACACCGCAAATTACTCCGTGGAGGAGGACCAACAACAGGCAGGTAATAGCCCAGATACGATTGGAAAATGGATTGCGCTGCCAGAGCGCATGATCGCGATGTACAAATGTGAAAGAAATGAAAACTGAAATGATAGTAATAGCGTAAATAAAAGTTTACCAAAGTTACGTTGAGTTACTTTACCAAAATGTAGGATTATGCCTAGCAGAGCACAGCTTCGGGAAAAGTAAAGAAACTGATAGAAGGCCGGATCAGTTCCATCATCATCATTCTCCTCGAGGTCTAACACAGGTCCCTCTGTAGCTTCTGTAACTTCCGGTTTTAATACAGGGTCAGCTAAGAACATCCAGTGGGCAACGAGCTGTAATAAATATTAATTGACACCTGTATTCTCTTCTTATACTTTAAACATATCACAACCTACCAAAGAAACGACAAGAACGATAAACTTGCAGCCATAGCACCACATGACAAAGGCAAAGGCCCGCGTGTCGTAGTCCGTTTGCTTTTTGCTAGTTGCCCGATTCATGATCTTGGGATCCACGTCAATGTGGGCAAGCGAGATGGCTATTAGCGGCACCGGCACGCACATCAGATAGATGCCGAGCAAGGGGGTAAGAAGCGGCGGCTGCGAGAGGCACGCGCACAGCACGTTCAAAATGGAGATGGAGCCGGCGCAGCAGGCCCAGTACTGGATGCAGTTCCACAGGCCCAGCGAGAAGCGACGTGACAGCTCAATTATGGCCACCAGCGAAAGCGGGTCGTCGCGGCAAACGGCAATGGAACAGGGCAACGAGTTTAGCAGCCGGCTCAAATACAGAGGAGATATGGTGTGTGCCGGCGTCTGCATGGCGCATCCCTGAAGGCCGCCCTCCAGCAGCTGCTCATCGTCGTTGGCCTTGGTTTTCCCTGCCTGCCGCTGCCACAACAGCTTGTTGTGCTGGATATTGGCTTCCGTGTAGGCGTCCACATCCTGGCACACCTGCGGATACAGTGGCTCCACGGCTATGCTGCAATCGGCCTGCAGGAAAATGTCCGCATTGGCGTTACTGGCCGAGCTGCCCAAACAGACGACGATTTCGCCGTAGGACTGCATGATGTCCAGCATCTGGCGCGTGGCCTCCGCCGAGCAGTCTGTGAAAAGAGAAACCTGCAGCGGAACGTTGTCAACCTGCTCCAGATGAGGCCTTATGTTCTCGATGCCCCTTGGCAACTTTGCCCTGTTCGACATGTCAAAGTTGATGGGTGCACTCTGATCTGTGCTTTCGGTGAGAGTGCTTAAGGAGCGGCAGTTCTCGTCCATGGCGGAGTCCAGCGAATGGCGCTGCTTGTGCTTGCTGGGATCGGTTTCCGGCTCCAATTCGGAATCCCCGGGAAGATTTCTCTTTGGGGAGTTATTCTGCGAGCTATCCTTGCTGCCCTCGCCCTCCGCGGATTGGGGATCGTCACTCACATTCAGTGGATTGCATTCATCCGGATTGGAAATGGCACCGGGCGCTGAAGAGCTGAGGGTTTTCGAGGACTCCAGATTATTGGGCGGCCCCAAAAGATAACTTATTTCTGGGCCGTCACCTACAATTTCAGTGGTGTTAGCAGCAGGTATGGATTCGGATTCGGATGCGGGTGCGGTGGGCGATATGTACATGACTTTGGCACTGGGATGATGGTTGTTGGTCTCATGGTCTGTTGTGGTGGTTGTGGTGGCGGTGGCAGTGGTTGAGGTGGTGGCTTGGTTGGTTGGTTTACCAATATGTTCCGGCAGCTCCTTGGCCTTGGCAGTGACTCGATCCTTCTCGCCGTCCGGCTCCGGTTCGCTTAGCAGCGAGATGTGGCAGTTCCAGCCGGACTCGAGACCCATTTTCTCGGAGAAGACACGCGAGCGCAGCTCGTTCTCCTTGCTAAAGTGCACGAACCGGATGCAGGCCCGTTCCAGATGCTCCACCAGCCGGACTATATCGTTCTGCGCCTGATACTGCATCGTCACCATGCCGATGAACACCTGGTGGCACTGCATCTCGAAGCAGCCCTCCACATCGTTGCACTCCTCGTTATTGCTCTCCGAGAATAGCAAAGAATCCGTGCTGATGCTGTGGCTCAGCTTGACGTGGTGGCCGCCCTGAAAGTCGCAGTGCGTCTTGTCCACGTGCTGCATGCGCAGCTTCGACTCCGGCGGTAGCTCCAGATACAGGCACTCCCCGCCGCTTCGCTGGGGGCCACTCAGGGCTCCATGGATGCCATGCCGCAGAGGGCGATAGGCGAAGGCCGTGCAGTAGGAGGTCAGAGCACTGCGCTGGTAAAAGTCCAGAGCCCTCTTGCGATCCTGGGCGGAGAGTGGACGCAGATCTATGCCGTCCCAAAAGTCGTCGCAGCAGTCCAAGATGATATCCGCTGTTCCCTGCGTGAAGAGAGACAAATAGCCGCCCGGATTCTCGCGCATTACGACGGACAAGGAGTGCGGAAAGGGAACCTTCACCTTGGAGGACAGCTGCAGCTGCCGGGCGAAACGAATGTCCCTGCGGACGACATCAGGTTGCTGCAAAAATGGAGAAGATTTTTAGTAGCCATTGTAATACAGAATATATACAGAATAATATGTAATTCCGGAATTAGAATTAGAGCCCTGCGTGAATCATTCAATTTTTGTTTTATCATAGTATGCCATGAAATTGTTGATTTATTTAATTCAATTCTATGTGAAATAAATTGAATGTTTTTCTAATTCATTTCGAATTGAATGAATGAATAAATAATTTTAATGAATTTTTTGAATTTTCCAGATTTTTTTGTGTGTTTTCTTTTGAGAACAAAAAGTGGAACATTTTTAACAAATCAATGTTAACTGCTTAGTAAATAAAATTCGGGCAGATTAAATCACAAAATTTTGGGCCTTTCTTCTTCAAAAGAAATTGTTGTTTAAATTATTTTGGAATTCATGCCATTCATTAGTTCAATTCTTTTAAACTCAAAATTTAAATTCATTCAATTCTATTAAACTCAAAATTCTAATTAATTCATGTATTAAAAACAAAGAATTCAAAATAATTCATTGAATCCATTCATGCAGGGCCCTATAATGTATACAGAACCTTTACAAATAGCTTAGGTTTTCCAGACTTACCAAATGCCGGTAGCTGGCCAGTTGACCCTCCAGCGCGAACCGATCCGTGGCATGGTCGGTGAAGCCAATCTGCTTGGCCAGCTCGCAGAGGCAGCGTCTGTTTGTAGAGAGCAACCGATTAGAACTGGTTCCAACTAACGCTGGATGCGACGGCGGTGCGTGAGCATGCAGGCAAGCGTGGCGGGCGGGGGAGGTTGGCGGGAATGGGGCGACTATATTTAAGCGTTCTTGAATGTTTGTTACTCAAAATAGCATGCCAATGGGGATGGGGCGGGGGCGAGGAGGCAAAGGAGATCGATTTACGAGTACAAACAAATGAATATAGGTAGAATAATAGATACAAGGTTTATGTGTCGACTTTGCGGTTAGTTTAAAGGCTCGAATGGAATATGGGAAATTAAAGAGCAAAACGATTAAGGAATAGCGAGTTACTGGAAATCAAAAGTACTTTTTTCTTACGCTTGAAATTTTTAAATCATTACCAATCGCTTGTGTTTGTTTTGTGGGGGAATCGTCCAATTGGATTCAAAAATCAAAAAAACCCAAAGCAAAGACTAATTTGATCGGGCTGGCTTTGGATGCAATGGCATTGAATACCATTTTGGAGAAAATCATTAGACTATATAAGTAGTAGTTTTGCGGTCGAAGCAATCGACCCAATATATATATATATATATGATTTGGTTAGACAGAAACTAACGATGAGTATGGCAATGAACTACGTACCCATGCAAAAAGCTTTTACTCGACTCAATGAGTGCATACGCATACCGATTAGTCACGGGCACCAGATCTTTGTCGAGCATGGCCACGGCGGTTACATGGCCGCAGAACTGGGCGTAGTGCTCGTGGGTGAGCGGTGAACAGGTGTTTAGCAGAATGGCGAGGCCTAGAACAATGGGATAACGTTAGGAAGTTCACTAAATTTAGTTCGAGTTAGTTAGGTGTCACCCAGTGGCTTCAAGGACTTTATGTGCGCCTTCCACTCGTGGTCGTCGAACTCCAGCCGGAAGGGGCAGTGCTGGTCGTGCGTGAGATCCAGCACTTCTGCCACTATGCCGCGCTCCTTGTGATCCTCATCCACGTCCGGCACATCGTCGCTCTCGCTCGTCGACGACGACTGACTGCCGGCTCCATCCTCGCGCGACTCCTCGTCGGTGTTGTGCAGAAAGAATACCTTCTCGGCAGTGGGATTAGGCCACGACAGGATGCCCTTCTTGTCCACGCAGCAGAGCGCCGAAATGGAGCCCAGCACCTGGACGAGATTCGCTGAGCGCGGCAAGAGTTCACTGTCGCCGCGCCACAGCTGCATCCAGATGCGCAGCACGTTGGAGCGTAGCATCGAGACGTTCTGATAGTCGTACGATGGCGAATCCAGGTCCTCCTCGAACGATTTGCTTGTGCTCTTCTCCAGAACGGCCTGTGGCGTTTTCAGGAAGCACTGCAACCGCGCAATGCCCCACAGATTCATGGAGATCCACATGAGCGGAAAGATCAGCGGCAATAGCGGAACTATGGCCGCCGCCGAGGATTCGATGAGCACGAAGCGCCAGTTGTGCTTCTCGTCGGTGGGCAGGCCGTAGCCATGGAGGCGCAGTAGCCCCGAGATGAGCGTGATAACCAGGGCACTAATGAAGCCCCACTGCTGTATGTACTTGGTGACCAGCTAAACGAGGTAAACAGAGATAAGAAGGGGTTCTTAATTCTTTCAAAGATCTCCATACCAGATAGCGCTGCTGATTGTAGATGGTGGGCGGTCGCTTCAGGGAGTTTTTCAAGCAAACGCTTAGGTTGTCCAGGTAGGGTGTGCTCTCCAAGCAGCAGACGAGATCGGGCAGCGGGGGTCGGGCCACTGGCTTAACGGGGGGATCGCCATGCGGAGCGGCTCCATAGATTTCGTTAGCCGCAAACAGCTTGTTCGTCTCAAGTTCGCGGCAGGGACCGGGTGAAATGTGTCCCGGCCGCAGGACGATGTTATCTCCACGTACCAAGAGGGCCCACGGCAGGTTAACGATCTTGCCATCGCGATAGGTCCACTGCAGGGAAACGCAGGGCGACATGGGATTACTCAGATGCGGATAGTTCTCCGGCTGCCAGTCGTCGCTGAAGTGCTGCTCCGCCAGCTGCAGTTCCGCCAGCGCATGTCGCGTCTTCCGGAAGATCTCCGTGCGCCGCAGGTTGTTCTCCCGGACCACCACGAAGAGGTCCAGCGACAGGATGGCCAGCAGGCACAGGGCGGGCCACAGCATGCCCGTGATGAGCAGTGCTCCGCTGGCCAGCAGAGTGGCCCCAATGGACAGCCAGCCCAGTGGGCTATCGTAGCGCTTCACAAAGGCCGCCCGCAACTTTCGATAGGAGCTGTGGATTGCCTATTATCAGTACATATCAACGGATATGGGTTGACTCACCTCTCCGCGCCGTACAGCCGCTCGTGCTCCAGCAGCACCCGTTCAATCTCCTCATGCAGACGCCGCAGCGCCACCTTTGTGGTGAGACCGCGCTGCGAGTGCTCGTCCGGACTCGTCCGCTTTTCCGGACTTTCCGCCCGCTTCGCTGCCATTTTCCTCGACGTGCTCCTGCGACTGCAGTTCAGGAATTCGCGTCCGCCTACAGCATAGTTTCCAAAATTTGCGTCTGTTTAGATTTGGGTTCGCCGATCAAGTGTTCGCAACAGCCGTCGGCTGAGAGCACGGTCACTTTAGGGCAGAGATGCCATTCTAGCGGGTTTTGAGCTAAACCTAGCTTTTGTTCTTTTCTAGCTAGGTTTTAGATTTCTGATTTTAAACTTAATTAAGTTAACTAAATAATATTTAAATTATTTCTATTTGTTTAGGGCTTTCTTAAAGTAAGTATTTATTTTAATAAATTCACATCATGAAAACAAAAAAATTCTTAAATTCAGTTTTTAACGCTCTTCTTCAGATTTCAATTTGTTACAAAAGAAACTTTAACTGAAATGTAAGGAATTCTAAAGTAATAGCAACATAAAAATGAAATATTGTTAAATCGTCATTTCAGATGCGTACATGTTTGTTTGTAAACAAAACTTATAAAGCGAAAAGCGAGAAAAAATATTTTCTATAGCATAAGTTCGACATTATGCTTGCGTAGCATATTCTTGAGAAAACAATTTGCGAGAATTCGAGATGTACAAAAGGAAGCATTTCTTCTGTTAGGGGAATTTAACGAGCCCATTCATAAGTACATACTTTAATATGTAGTAAATAATAAAACAGAGCTTTAGAACTAAGTATTTGGAAATGAAAATTATAAAAATTCTGCTGCAACTGAAAAACATTACTGTGTTTGGTTGGGCATGACGTGACGACCAAAGATACGGCGAATATCTTGGGTGTAAGCTGCCTGTCGGCAAATCGGGCAGTTAGAACTTCGCATTATATAGCCTCGAATGCACGAGTCCCCGAATAGGTGGCCACATGCCAGCGAGACGACCCGATGGCCCCCATCCGAATCCCAGGTCTCCCAGCAAATGGAGCACGTAATGCTGTCCACATTGTTCTCCTCCAGACTCTCCTTCTGTGCCTCCATTTGTTGCAGATGCACCTGTGCCTGACCTTCGAGGTCCACGAGCAATTGGCGGCGCATTGCCTCCTTCTGGCAGATTTCCTGCTGCGACTCCGAAATGATGACCTGCATCGAGCGGATCTGCTGCTCCTGCTTAGCCACGGTTCCTTCATACCTGGCCTTCTGCTCCTCCAATTGCAATGCCATCCCATCACGCTCAATCGTGAGCTGTTCCTTCTGCGATGTTATGAACTTAAGGTCGTTAGTTAACTGGTCAATGGTCATCCCCTGTTCTTGATCTCGATTTACCAAGAAGAGGATCTTCTTCTCTGCTTCCTCCAGTTTGGCTTTCTGAGTTTGATAGTCGGAGGACAGCTTATCATTGGTCCTTTGTAGTTCCAGGCTGAAGACATTTAACTGGTCTATGGTCATCCGCTGTTCTTGGTCTCGATTTACCAAGAAGAGGATCTTCTTCTCTGTTTGCTCCAGCTTGGCTTTTTGAGTTTGGAAGTCCATCAGGGAGTTGAAAGTAAGCGTCCCCATTTGCAAATCCGTAATATTCCCGTCGGTTTCCCGGCAAAAATGATTATTCCACTGCAGCAGCCATTCAAATTGTTCTGCGGCATAGGCGTCTTCAAGATCGATCGAATGGTTTTGATTTGCCTTTATAGTACTTTCCATTGTAATTTAATTTTAGACAATTTTGATTTTTTGGGAATCCCTTAATTGGACTTGCAGTCAACTTTATGTAGGTATAGCGCAAAGTTCCTAGAAAGCAACATAATTAGATAGTATCGAAAATAATCCTTCGTATTCAAATGTACTGACCACAAATTGTATTACAATCAATTATTTTATAATGAAACAGACCTTTTCAAGCTCCTCCGACAATCAAAATGAAATACAGTTATGGCGGCTCGGCAGTTCTCGATTGTCGATAGGCGAATTTAGTGGAGGGGTAAGGTAATAATGCAACATAAGGTCACACTGTTAATTGGCGTTTTTTTTGAAAATAATTTTATTGATCGGGTGAATGAATGGAATGAATCAAAAAGTATGCAACAAAAATATTGTTCTGATATCACCCCCCACAACAAATTCCTAGATCCGTCATAAAAGCAATCAGTGATTTAACTCGAATTAAGCAGTGTTTAAAAAGGGGTCTGAATTTTCCTTTAGCCTGCCGTTGCTTTTGCTTCTGCTTCTAAAAAGTCGTTGCTTTCTGATTTTAAGCTGCTGCTGATCTGCTGCTTTCAGTCGGAAGCAACAGTCGAAACAAGCAACAATTTCTGGAAGTTGCCATTGCTTCTGCTGCTGCTGTTGAAAAAATCGGAATCACACCCAAAAAATTAATTACTCTATCACTTCTAGTTACTCGATCGATGACTTTATTGTATACAAGTGTCACTTCCCCTATAAAGATAATTTTCAGCAGTGTATATAATTTTTATTAGCAAACGAATACAAAGCAAGGCTCGGCAAGCCAAATCTTGAATACCCTTTTTCTTTGCATGCACTCGTTTTATGAAGTTCGCGAAAGTTCAAATCAATTGTTTTTATTGATATATTTGGTGATATATTTTCAGAGGGTATTGGTAATTTAATATTATTGATATGAAATGGCCGAAGTTAGCTTCCTTTCTTGTTTAAACTGCGGCCTCTATTATTAAAACATGAGTATTAAAACATGCGGGCATGGCGATATCGTCTCGTCCAGTGACTATTATCACAAATATAGATATTGCTCCGGGTCACTAAAAAAATTTCTAAAAAAAAGTTATAATACTCTTTAAAATAGTATACAAAATCTCAAAAAACATAACCTTGTTTTACAACGTAATAAATTAATTTGCTGGGTTGGGCATGACTTGACGACCGAATATACGGCGAATATCTTGGATATCTGCTGCCTGCCTGCAAATTGGACAGTTGGCACTTTGTACTATATAACTTCGAATGCACGCGTCCCCGAAGAGATGGCCACAAGCCAGAGAAACGACTCGATGGCTTCCTTCCGCATCCCAGGCCTCCCAGCAAATAGGGCAAGTAATGCTGTCCACATCGGTCTCCTCAAGACTCGGGTTCTGTGCCCCAATTTGTTGCAGATGCATTTGCGCCTGATTCTCGAGTTTCAGGAGCAATTGGCTACGCATTTCCTCCTTCTGACAGATTTCCTGCTGCGACTCCGAAATGATGACCTGCATCGAGTGGATCTGCTGCTCCAGTTTATCCACCATTCCTTTATACCTGGCCTCCTGCTCCTCCAACTGCAATATCATCCCATCGCGCTCAATCGTAAGCTGTTCCTTTTGCGTAATTACGAACTGGAGTTCGTGAGTCAACTGTTCAAGGGTTATCTGCTGTTCTTGGTCCCGATGCACCGACAAGGGGGTTTTCTTATCTCCTTCTTCCAGTTTTAGTTTTTGTGTGTAAAAGTCGTAGGCCAACTTTTCATTGTTCCTCCGGAGTTCCTGGTTAGTCCTAAGAGCATCCTTTAACTGGTCCTTAGTTTGACGCAACTTCAGTTTGAGCTTTTTCATTCGCAAAGCCGGATCGTCCTTGTCGGCCGCCAGGTAAAAATGATTGTACCACTCGATTAGCCATTGAAATTCTTCAGCGTCGTAGGCGTCATCGAGATCAAGAGAATTCTTTTGAATCGACATGGTAATTTGGATTCTCTGGGAGTTCCCTGATTTTATTTGTTATCAACAATTTAACGTGTGTCTTCTACAATACAATCAAATGAAATACTGATATTGCGGTTTATCGATAGTCGATAAACGATTTCGATGGCGGGGTAATAAGTGGGCCGCAGCTTACGGTCACACTATTAGCTGGCTTATTTTTTTTGTCGATGTAAACGTTTATTACATTTCACAGATAATTCGGGAGCCAATGGATTCCAAACTAGATGTAAGTTCATATAGGTTGTAAAGGGAATTTAATCTTTAGACCATATATTCCCCCCTTAGATGTTTGAGGACGTGAACACGTCGCCTTCTCTGGAGGGCGACATGTCTATTCCGGGCAAGAGGACCACAACTGCAACGTCGGCGAGCGGAGTGCCGGATTACAATACTTTGGATGAGCCCATTCGGGAGACGGTGCTGCGGGATATCCGGGCGGTGGGCATCAAGTTCTACCACGTGCTATATCCCAAGGAAAAGTCCAGCCTGCTCCGCGACTGTGCGTCATCACCTAAGTTTCCGTCTGCTTTCGTAGGCAGTTTGCTGATCTGTGTTTACTTACTCTTTTTCAGGGGACCTTTGGGGACCGCTGGTGCTGTGCACCTTCATGGCCACCATCCTGCAGGGCTCCTCCTCCGCCGACAGCATGTCCGACAACGGGCCCGAGTTCGCCCAGGTCTTCGTAATCGTCTGGATAGGAGCGGCCATCGTTACACTCAACTCCAAGCTGCTGGGCGGCAATATGTGAGCGTAATTCTTACCTAAACTTGACCAGTAAATTAATTATGGTGTACTCCTACAGCTCATTCTTCCAATCCGTCTGCGTGCTGGGCTACTGTCTTACCCCCGTGGCCATTTCGCTGATTGTGTGCCGCGTAATCCTGCTGGCCCACCAGACGAGTCTGCTCTTCTTTCTGCGCTTTGTGACCACCACCATGGGCTTTGCCTGGGCCACCTACGGTATGGAAACCTATTCTAACTGATAGAAGATAATACTAATGACTCCCCCCTTAGCTTCCTTTATTTTCCTGGGCCAGAGCCAGCCGCCGCATCGCAAACCCCTGGCGGTCTACCCCATCTTTCTGTTCTTCTTCATCATCTCGTGGCTCGTCCTGTCCCACAATTAGCTAAATTAGTTCGTAAAGAGAAAACAGTGCACGTTCCATAGCGTAACCAAAAAAACAAAAATCCGAAATCAATTGTACATTTTTCTTTAAGCTACGAATCCGTTTTCTTTATTCTTAAAAATCTTACAAGTTATCTGAGTTACGGGCGCTCACACCTCCAGATTGTTCGCCGAGGAGGCCACCTCCAGGGACATCTGCATCTGGACGCCGTCGCCCTTGGTGGGCCTGTAGGTCAGCGAATTGGCGCGCGCCTTGCGACCCATGAAATGCCGTTCCACCCACTTGAGCAGCGTGTAAACGGAGTCCGTGGATGGCAGTCGGTGATCGGCAGCGGTCTTCACAATGTCCGACGAGGTCACACGGAACGTTCTCGCCATTCCCTTGAGGGCCTGTCAAAATATGCAGTAAAAACTTATATACCAGTCATCTAGAAAGGATTCCTTTGAAGATCACTTACCACCATGGCATCCTCGTCCGTCAGATCGTCGCCCACATAGATAATCTTGATGCGCTCGTTCCAGTCGACGCCGAAGGATGTGCGCAGGATGTAGATCGAGGCACGACCCTTGTTCCACTGCACCGGCGGACGAGCCTCCAAGGCGCAATGCGCCTCGGTGGCCTTGAAGCCGTACTTTTCGATCAGCGAGCGGGCCTTGTCCACCATTGCGCCCCTCAGATGGTTCGGAGTTTCGCGGTAGTGGAACGTCAGCAGCGCCCCCTTGTTCTCCACCCAGGCGCCGTCGCGGCAAACAGAATCCTGCAGTGCCTTCAGCAGATCACTGACCTTCTTCTCGTACTCCATGGGCATGGGATGCACAAACTTGCTGCCATCGGGATGGAGGATTTCCAGGCCGTGATTGCCCGCATAGGTGATGCCCTCGATGCCGACCATCTTCTTGACATTGTCCACGTTGCGACCCGAGATGACGGCCACATAGACGTCCGAGTGGTTGGACAGCTTGTACAGCACGTTCTTGATCTCCGGCGAGAGCGTGGCCAGATCCGGATGCGGGGCAATGGGCGCCAAGGTGCCGTCGTAGTCCAGCAGCAGAGCCAGCTTGTGGTTATAGCCGATGTATCTGTGGGATAGAAAAGCAGAATACTTAAGAAGGGGGTAGGGTATTGCAAAAAAGAAAAAGCGATTTTTTTAAAATATTTTTTCTTGTAGATTAACATCCTAAGATTATACAAAAAAAGTTTTAAGTCAATCGGACAAAAACTTAAGAAGTTATGCACCCTAACCTCTTAAAGTTTAGGTACGTAAGTGCATCTTTAAGTGCGTTTTTCTCGAAATCGTTTTAAAATTTGTCGCATATTTTTCTGCATAAAAAGACCCGCCCCTTGGGAAGCGTTTTTTTTTATTTTTTAACTTTAAATATTTTTTTAAGCCGAAATTTACATTTTTTAGGTGAAAAACGCATTTTTTACTTTGGAATATCGTAAAAAAATCTCATAAATATGAAATTATAAAAAGGGCTTTCCAGGGGGCGGTTTTTTTAAATTCTTAACCGAAATGTAAAAACAAAATGGAAATCGGATCATTTTTAGCGGAGGTACAGTGAACACCGCAAAACGCCTGTTTTTAATAGTGTTCCAGCAATCGCTATAAAAATTAGTGGATGTTATTTAAATGACACTTAATAATATACAAAAGGTTTCAGTTAAATCCATCCAACCAGTTTTTATAGAAAAAATCGCAAAGTTAGTCGATTTTTTGGTGCCAAAGACCCTACGCCCCCTTAAGCATTTCCCCACAATTTAAACCCAATCCCTTACTCACTTCAGTAAGTAGTCATCGAAGTCGTCCACGGAGACTGGCTGCATAATGGTGGTGCCCACATCGTCCATCTCCAGAGCGCCCACGGCCTTCAGGAAGCAGCGCATCCAGTGGCTCACATCGCACTCGGCCTCCCGCCGACGCAGACGAGCCATCCGGAGAACCCGCTCATCCTCGGGCATGGTCAGCGCCCGGTGGATCACCTCGGCGGCCTCGTTCACCTCGTACGGATTGCACAGCAGCGCCTCGTGCATCATCTCGCCGGCTCCGGCGAACGGAGAGATGACCAGGACACCGGGCACCTCGTTGATCTGGCAGGCCACGAATTCCTTGGCCACCAGATTCATGCCATCGCGCAGCGGAGTGACCAGGCAAACGGCCGCATCCCTGTACAGGGCGGCCAATTCGTCCTGGCTGACATAGTCGTAGATGTAGCGAATGGGCGCCCAGTTGGCGGTGGTAAACCGGCCGTTGATGCGGCCCACCAGCTGGTCCACCTCCTCCTTCAGCTCGCGGTACTCCTTGACATCCGTTCGCGACGGCACCGAGATCTGCAGCAGGCTCACCTTCTCCTTGTGCTGCGGATACTTCAGCAGCAGCGCCTCGAAGGCCATCAGGCGGTGGACGAGGCCCTTGGTGTAGTCCAGTCGGTCCACGCCAAGGATGATCTGCATCTTGGAGGTCTTCAGCACCTTGGGTGCAGTCGTGGCCAGATTGACGAAGCGCTCGTAGGGAATGCCAATGGGAAGAGGACGAACGCGCACTGTGCGTCCACCATGCTCCACGAGGAGATTGTTTCGATCCACGCGGCAGCCGAGATTCCGCTGGCAGCAGTCCACAAAGTTCAGGCAGTAGTCCTGGATATGGAAGCCCACCAGATCGCAGCCCAGCATGCCCTAAACATAGGAGATTTATTAAAGGCACCGAAAATAACGAATATTTTTCTTGAGTAAAAAATAAAAATCTCAATTTAATGATTACTTTGTAAACGAAAAAAATATCGCTCAGAAATAATGATTATTTTGTGAGCGATATTATTTTGCTTAGATTTCAGTCGTCCTAAATGTGATTTAAATGTGCTCTTGTAGGTAGAACCACAAAACACATATCCAGCTAAGAAAAAAAAATGTTTTCATTGTATAAACCTTTCAAAAAAACAAAAAAAACTTTTTGTATAAAAAAACACTTTCTGTGGGAATCGAACTCGTGCTTACATCTCGGTGGAACAACACACTAACACCCAGCCCACATGTCGGCTTCGATCTAAGTGGAATAGTTCATAACATCTTATTAAGTCGTTTTACTAAAATATAAATGACATAAAGTCCTAAGGTTGATACCACTTTTTGTATTTATGCAAAAAAAAAGTTTATACAAAGAAATAACCTTCTTTGTGTGCTACGTGGTTCTACCTACAAGCACAAATTTAAAAATTTGTAAAATTCCGTACAGAACGGCTGCAATCGCACTTTGAGTGATATTTTTAAGCGAAATAAAATCGATCACATAATAATCATTATTTCTGAGCGATGTTTTTTTCGCAACAAAATAATCATTAAATGGAGATTTTTATTTTTTAACTTATAATTTTATGGAACATCCTTATAGCGAAGAGAAAGCTCTGCTCACCTGCAGGATCTCATCGGACCAGGGCAGCAGGCGGAAGATGTCCCACGGCGGGAAGGGGATGTGCAGGAAGAAGGCCAGCCGACAGGGCAGGTTCTTCTCCTCCGCGTGCTCGCGCACCCAATTGGCGGCCAGCATGAGATGGTAGTCGTGGATCCACACAATCGGCGGACTCTTCTCGCTGCCCTGGTTCTTGGCCAGGCACTTCTCCAGCGCCTCGATGGTGCGCACGGCAAAGTGCTTGTTCACCGTCACATAGTCGTGCCAGTGCTCTCCTCCAAAGTTGGCTCTGCCCGGCATCGAGTGGAAGAGTGGCCAGAAGATCTTGTTGCAGCACCCGTTGTAGTAGCTGTCGAAGATCTTGGAGTCGATGTTCACCGACACCACCTGCTCGGACTTGAGGCCAGCGGTGGGCGTCTGGTCGTTCGGGTTGGACTCGGGAATGGCCTCGTTGGGATCCTTCAAGTGAATACCCGACCAGCCCACCCAGAGGCCGCTGCCCTTGATCACCACCGGACACACTGCGGTCACCAGACCTCCAGCGCTGGAAAAGAGAAGGAAAAATTTTAGAATTGGTGGATTCTTAAAGTTAATTTTCGGTTTGAAAACCTTTTAAGTTTAAAATATAAAATACTACATTATTTTTCACAACATTTTAAGATTATTATTTCTAAACTATTCTTAAAAGGATAGAAAATTAGTAGATCTGGGTAAATTTAAGACCATCTTAGGGAAATATATTTTAACATAAAGTTTAAATCAAAGGATATGTTGTTTTTCTACAAACATTTCCTAACTTAATTTTTATAAAGTTTCAACGTTATTTCTACGCTGTTCTTTAAAAAATATAAATTCCCAGGATTAAGATTATGGATAATGTAATGTATTCTATTTCCAAACTGTTCTCCAAAGGATAGAAAATTAGTAGATCTGGGTAAATCTAAGACCATCTTGAAGGAAAATATTTCACCATCGGGTTCATATCAAAGGATTCTTTAAATATATGTGTATATGGATTGATTTTTATAAAATTGTAAAGTGACGTCTAAACTGTTTTTCAAAGCATAGAAAGTTAGTTGTTTTGTGAAAAATTACAACGTTTTTTCTACGCTGTTCCTTAAAAAATAGAAATACCCAGGATCCAGCTAATCCATGTAATCTTCTTGAAGACCAAATCCCCACCATTTGATAGAAAAGAAAGACCGAGTGATGTAAACGTGCTGTTCTCCCCCTCCAACCAATGAAAGACGTAATCAGGTGTCCTATAGCTACATATATAGACCGAACAGAATGGCCGAGTGCTTGTGTGTTGGTGAGGACCCAGCCCATTTTGTGCAGAGTGCATGACACCCGGGAAATGATAAGAAGACGCCTATTAAACCAGCGATTGTAAACAAGCTGTGGACCCAGCTCAGCTCCGGTCCATCTCATCCCGTCATCCCGTCATCCCGGGGACAATCTGGCAGAGCGGAGGCCCAAAAGAAACTGGTTCCTGGCATAGGTCGGGAAGCCACAGCTCCACTATGAGGCAATCTCATGCCTCACGTGACGCCTCTTTTCAGTGTCAGGTTCAGGTTCCACTGGGCGACAACAGCCTCGTCGTAACGCCTCCCAGTTTTGACCCTTTCGCCAGACACTCGGAAGGGTCAAAAACGCGTAACGAACCTCGCTGATAAGGCCCGCCATTATTATTGAATTGAATTTGTTTTCTAACCCAAAGCCCAGACTTCGCTTGGTCCAAAACATCTCGATTCGATTCCCTCCCTCTCTGTATGTTTTGCACTGATAAGAAAGCCTGGCGGAGATCAAGATGAACCGAAATATAGGTATGTCACATAGTTGGATCGAGAATTGAATTGGGGGAAGGGGAGATTGGGTGGCGGCTGTCGGGCGGCTTATCTTCAAATGCAAATTGTAGGCTCGAGGATCGAACTGGGTTACTTGGGGATTTTCGGGAGTGCGAAGAACATGAAAATTTGCCCTGATCGAGCTTTGGGCCCCCAATTACGGAGAGTTGATAAGCGTGCTTACGAAATCATAGGAAATTTCTAATTGTTTAAAGATGACTGACTACTCAGAACTTTCCTTTGTTTGAAATTGATTTATTTTACTATTAGCTTGGCCTTATTTCCGGATTAAACTGTGCACTTGGGTTGATAAAAGAAATGGGAAACTAAGATGTTATTATTTTGTAAATTATTTGTGTAAATAATTACTCTAAAAATATTTAAAATACTTTCTAAAATATTTTAAATATTTATGTTGCCTATTAGCTTTGTTCAAAATTCCTAGAAAATCTATATTTTTTGCAAACGCTGCCATTATTAAATTTTAAATCAGGTTACATAAGCCTTATTTTTTGCCGGAAAACTAAGGACTCTTTTCTTAAATTTCGTTAGCACTTCTTATTAATAACATAATATATAACACCATTTTATTTAAATATTGTCCCACTCACCTGGCCCTGCGTTCCAGCTCATCGGTCTTCGCATTCCGGATGAGCACGAATGGCAACCGATTGGAAACCACGATGAGACTCGCCTTGGTGGAGGGCTCCCCGGCGTTGGTAACGATGATCTCCGTGTCGGGCATTGTGATCTTTGGTAACTCAGCTGCTTGAGGACTTGTGCGAATCTTGTCTAGCAGTCAAATTTAGCACATAATTTTTCGGGCCAGAATCGATGCGAATTTGTGGACAACCGTCTGCTTTGAAACCTGGCTTATCAATGGCTCTGCCGAGCGGAGAGAGCGACCGTTTGCCGAATTTAATTCCCAATTCCGACGATTGAAGATTGAAGAGCAACTGGCCGAATCCCAGACGCTGACTGTCTTCTTATCGATTCTTCTCCCCGTTGCAATTCTACGTGGAAATGGTGGCTGAGTTTTTCCTGGTTTTAAAGGTTTTTAGTCGGTGTGTGTTGGTCGCGAGAGCCAGCAGCTCCGTACCCTGCCGAAAATAGACGAGCACTAAGCCAACTAGCCGCTCAAGTCGCACTTTTCTGCTAAAATCGAATGCCTCCCAGTCAGCCCCCTCCCGAACGTCCCATCTTGGGTTCCACAGTCCACTCTCCGGCTTATCAGGAAATCGTTCAGCTTCAGCTTCTCTGCCTTTGCTGATTACGTTTTCCTGAGGGAGGTGAATGTTTGTGGCTCCGTTGCTCCTTTCGTGGTTTTCCAACCAACTGCACATTGTTATCCTTGAAAGGGGTTGGTGGGGGTCAGGGTGATCTGATCTGATTTGATCTTTCGGAGCCACAGTTTACACATCGCAGCTAGTTTTCTAGAATTAACTGGCCGCGCCTGGTATATTATCAGCTCGGGAACATTTCACGGCAACGGATGAGTCTCCTCCCCCTGAACCACCACCACCCATAGCCACCCCATACCACCCATCCCCACCCCATCGATGTTGTCTCTCAAAGCGATAAGTCAACAAATCGATGCTGTTGTTTACGCTCCGCTTTCTGCCTTATAAAGAACATCCGAATTGTACACAGAAGATTTCTATTTTCGTTTCTCTATCGAAGTTGTCTGCAGACCAGACTGCGTTTCTAAATCTCTTTCCTGAAAATCTAACCTTGTGGTGACCGTTGTAACTGTATCTAAATCTGGGGTTCATTTTTGCATATAGAACCCCGGTATTTGCCGTGGAAGATACAAGTAGTACAGTACTGATAACGCTATCTAGTGCATTTTAGTATCGGATTTACGGCGGAGTGGTGCAAGGGATTACGCCTGGGCCAGCTAGTGTATATTATAAAATGGAAAATGGAAACTTGGCTGAACTTGAACGCTTGATCATGTTTGGCATTCATGGGCTTATCACGATGCCCGGCTGGCGTTTTACGTGATTGTTGATAGTTGTCGTCGTTGCCGGAATCTGCAATAACAGTTTCGCCTGGGATCGAGTGGGGAGAACAAATTAGTCAGCTCCGCTGATCCATCGCTTGCAGCGGAGCAGCAATGCGATGCGATTCGATCCGGCGATAGTGAGATAACCCGGCCGGAGGTCGCTGCATTACGGTTGGCATATTTATAGTTGCGAACTATGGCTATTAGGCCGCAGACGTCTATGGTTTGACGTGATTAAACTGACGCAGGAGCTGCACACAATAGCTTCGTGATGCAAGCAAAAATAAAACCGTTTTTAACGGTCGATAGAGAGGCAAGGCTGCCAGACTGATCAAATAACTATATAGATCGATAGTTAAAGATCGATAGGTGTCAGCTCTAACGCCCAGTATGACCGTATGCTCCCGCATTTGTTTATCATTTGTTTATAGGCCACCATGGATCCTTCAATTATTGAGTTCATTGGCGAAAAGTGCATGATCAGCATAATACCCAACTTCTCCAACGAGCCCCTGCATCTTATATACGGATCCGTGGGTCCCTTTCGGGCCGGCTTTCCCGTCTTTGTGCCCCTGTGGATGGCGACGCATCTGCGCAAGCAACAAAAGTGCCGAATTGTGCCGCCGGAATGGATGGACATGGATATATTGGAGGAAATCAAGGAGGAGGAGAAGCGATCTAAGTATGTATGCGGTGGATTTTCCTTGGGCGAGCCAAAATAACCTACCAATCACCTGCAGATTCTTCACCAAGATGCCCTGCGAGCATTACATGGTCGTGGCCCAGTTGGTCATGAGCACGGCGCCGGATGATGTTCCCCGTTGCGAGGAGCTGCGCACTGTGATCAAGGACATCTTCGACATACGCGAGTCCAAGCTGCGCACCTCGATCGATGCCTTTATCAAGGGAGAGGGCACCTACGCGAAGCTGGACAATCTAACTCTCCTGGAGATCCACAGCGTGCGGCCCATCCTGCCCTATTCCCTGGATCACATAGCCCGATACCAGCGCACGGCCACCGCCTCCCAGAGGGACACCTCCATGCTGAGTGCCTCCATGGCGGGATCCAGTTCGGGACCCAATAGTAACTCTCTGTTTTCCCAGTGATCTTGGTTCGAGTAAATAGAGATATATTTAAGCAATTTGGTTTTTTCACTTATTTAACCCTTAAACTCTTAAATTTAAATTAAATGCAAAAGTTATAAAACTAAACTAAAATTAAAGAGAATACAAAAATTACTTGTTTTGATAAGACAATTTGAATTTCGATAGCTTTTACCATCGATACGTCAGCACTTTAGTTGGCAGCACGCTAATGGTGTAGAAAATCAGTTGGCAGCTCCCCATCTTCATGAAAGAAAATAACAAAAACTTTTTATACTACGGCAATTAAAAGGAATAATTAAAGATGAGCGAGGCTGCGGTGGCTGTGGAGGCGGAGGAGGGCATGGTGGCCAATAACAAGATCCACTTCTCCAAGGAGGTGAAGCAGGTCATCGACAAGGTGAGTCAGTGCAGCATATGTGTTTAGAATCTTAGAATAATAACCACCCCAAAAGGTCCTGAAAACAGACGATCCCATGGATGCACCGGACTTCAACACCGTGGACTACATCAACCAGCTGTTCCCCAACGAGCAGTCGCTGGCGGGGATCGACGAGACCATCCAGAAGATGCAGTGCGAGGTGTCGCTGATTGACGACAACATCCGATCCGTGGTGCGTGGCCAGACGAATACCGGCCAGGATGGCCAACTGGCGCTGTGCGAGGCACAAAAGGTGATCAGTTCCCTCTTCAGCCACATCATCGACGTGAAGAGCCGGGCGGAGCGCACCGAGGAGATGGTCAAGGAGATAACCCGGGACATCAAGCAGCTGGACTGCGCCAAGCGCAATCTCACCGCTGCAATTACGAGCCTAAATCACCTGCACATGCTGGTGGGCGGAATCGACAGCCTCAATAAGCTGATTGAGCGGCGATCCTACGGCGAAATTCTCAATCCCCTGCAGGCCATCACCGAGGTTAACCAGCACTTTCAGCAGTTCTCCGACATCGAGGAAATTAAGGTTCATATTCTAGAATATTCCAAAAGAAATCGATAACTAAATGAACTCCTTTTAATTCCAGAACCTCTCGCAAAGCGTCGACAAAATCCAGGTCACTCTGGCGCAGCAAATCACCGAGGATTTTAAAGAGGCCTTTGCCGCCAAGCCGTCGGCACAAAACCAACACCGTTTGGGTCTCAATCAGCTGGCCGACGCCTGCAAGGTGATGTCCGTGCTGGATCCCAAGGTGAAGAAGGAGCTGCTCAAGTGGTTCATTGCCCAGCAGCTGGAGGAGTACACGCATCTGTTCCACGAAAACCAGGACATTGCCTGGCTGGACAAGATCGACAAGCGGTATGCCTGGCTGAAGCGGCATCTGCTGGACTTCGAGGACAAGTACGGGCCGGTGTTTCCGCTGGACTGGGAGGTCTCCGAGCGCATTACCGTGGAGTTCTGCCGACAGACGCGTGAACAATTAGCTCTGATCATGTCCAAGCGCACCAACGAGATCGATGTGAGACTTCTCTTGTTCGCCATCAACAAGACGCAGGCATTTGAGCAGCTGCTCTCCAAACGCTTCACGGGGATCACACTGGGAGCCAAGCAGGAGCCGGGAAGAGTGCTCACTGAGCCAACGGCTACGGATGCTCCTTTGACCGTCTTCCACGATCAAATCGGGCAATGCTTCAAGTCGCATTTGGACATCTACATACGCAGCATCGATCGCAATCTCGCGGAGCTGATGGACAAGTTCGTGGAGATGTCGCGCGAACCGTACAAGTTTGCCGAGGCCAAGACCACCGTGTATCCCAGCTCCGGGGATCTGTTCGTCTTCTACAAGAAGTGCATGGTGCAGTGCAATCAACTGAGCAACGAGCAACCCATGTACGATCTCGCTCTGGTTTTTAAGAAATATCTGCGGGAGTACGCCTCCAAAGTGCTCGAGGGCAGTACACCTAAGCTCGTGCCAGCCACCACAGGCAGCTCCATTGGCAAAAGCGTCTCTTTGCTCACGCGCGACATGCAGAATTTGTCCACTGCCGCTGGCCAGGTGTTCCACAATTTCCTCAAGGAGGGCGACACACAGCGATTCTCGAGGGATGACCTTGTGCGAATTTGCTGCGTTCTGACCACCGGTGAATACTGTCTGGAGACGGTCCAACAGTTGGAGGATAAGCTGAAGGAGAAGGTGACCTCCGCCTATGTGAGCAAGATTGATATGAGCGAGGAAAAGGACGTTTTTCATCGGTAAGACAAGCTAAGTTTATAATATTGTATTCTATGCCTAAAAACCTTTTATTCTCTCACCCCCACAGCATCATATCCAACTGCATCCAGCTGCTTGTTCAAGATTTAGAGGCTGGCTGCGAAGCTTGGCTGCAGGCGATGTCCAAGGTGCAGTGGCAGCACATTAATAACGTGGGCGACCAGAGCGCCTTTATCAGCAGCCTCTGCGCCAACTTCAAGCAGACAGTGCCCACTATCAGGGACACTTTGGCCAGTTCGCGCAAGTACTTCACCCAGTTTTGCCACCGCTTCGTGGCCGCCTTTATACCGAAGTTCATCAACGTGCTGTACCGCTGCAAACTGACCCTTTCGGATGGTTCCAATAATGTGCTGGGTTGCGAGCAGCTGCTGCTGGACACCCATTCGCTGAAGACGGCACTTCTGGAGCTGCCGTCGGTGGGTTCGAGTGTCAATCGCAAGGCGCCCACCAGCTACACTAAGGTGGTGGTGAAGGATATGACGCGGGCCGAGATGATCATCAAGGTGGTGATGACGCCTGTCCAGCCACCAGCGCACTTTACCCAGCAAGTGCTCAAACTGCTGCCCGACATCACCATTGCGGAGTATCAAAAGATACTCGATATGAAGGCCGTCAAGCGGGTGGATCAACTTCAACTAATCGATCTTTTCAAGCACACGGCTTCGGCAGCGGCAGTTAGTGGCTTAATTGAGGCAACTGTGGGAGATGAAGACACCCAGGGAACAGAAACGTCGGCCACAACCTCCGGAACGACTGAAGATGCTGAAACCTCCACCGGAGCAACCGAATCCAGTACAACCACGGCCACAACGGCGGCTTCTTCCACACCCAAGCGTGCCTTCATCTTCAGCGTGGGCAGCTTCACGGGAAGCGCGGACAAGAACGCCGATGGCAGCTCGCAGACGGGCATCCGGAAACTGGAAAATCTACTGAAAAAGCGCTTCCCCTAGGCGATATATCTATCCATCTATCTTCAAAAATCATTCCATTGAGTTCGCTTTAGTTTGACAATGTTGGTGAACGCTTATTTGCTTAATTAATAGAGTTTTAAATGGTCTAATAAGGTTTGAAGAGACAAATGACACACTTAGTTCTGTAGTTTTGTATTATTTGTAATCCATCCATGTATTTAAAACATTTTAGTAAAATATTAGTTTTCTGTTAAACAAAAATTTAAAACTATAATGATTTGCACAAACCTTTTTGATAAGGGTTGGCTTTTTGAACTCGCGGGCAAAATAATAGAGACAAATATCGATAACCTTTCGATAGCAACAGGTAAGAGGGTGTATCGGAATTGACCCGCTAAATCTGGTATTTTTTGGTAGTTCCATACTATCGCGGTGAAAAAAAGCCCTGGCTACCTATTTACCTCTCGCTTACTCCTATGCTTAGCTAAGCTGCTAGATAGCAGTTTTCGTCGATGTGAGTACTCAAGTTTAGACTTTTTATTACCCGGAAACTACGAAAGCTTGAAAGTTGGGATTACCCACACATATTCTTGGGCTTCCTACGCAGCGCAAGTTTATTTCAGCCGAGCGCCACGCCCCCTCTAACGCCCACAAACGATTTTAAAACGTGACTAGCGCCCACATTTTTAAAGATTTCGGAGAAGTATAAATACAATGTTGCGTTTATTTATACCTTTCAACATGTAGAAGACATTTGTCAAATAGGATTATTCGTTAAAAAGCATTTCTCCATTTCTTTCCTTCCTTAGACGGATTATATATCGCAAGCTTCTGCAATGTCGGACATTAATGCAACTGATGACATAAAAAGACTAAACGAAATTTTAAGTTTATTTTGTTTGGAGCATCTATTTAATGAACTGCAATGTAAGTGGAAAGAACCTAAACTTCCAAGATTTTGTTCTTCATATTAATGTATGTAATTAGCTCATGGAGCTCTGCAGTACTTAAACGCGGAAGACATTAAGGACGCTATTGAGGATATTGGGTTCCGGAGTGAGTTCCGAGAAAATCTTTTTAATTGGAGAAAAAACAAGGTAAATACGTTTTGGTGATCACCGCTAAGCATAATTAAAAAGTGACTAAAATTTTTACAGCTTATAAGTGACAGGGAGTCGGAGGTGAGTGCATGGCTTACGAATTTAAATTTATCGACTCATTCGACTGAACATGGAGTTGTGGTAAATATAAGCGTAATATACATATAGGATATATATTAACCTAAATTAATACGACTTCCTAAACAGAATCTAGAATATATTTTCAAGCATGACGAGACCGCAAAAGGCATATTGCGGTTCTACAAGAAAAAAGGTTATCTCATAAATATTTTACTTTGTGCCTAGAAATGGAAGGCAAACCCCAAGCGGCAAATTATACACAAAATATCCCAGTTGTAAACATATCTAAAAAGCTTCAGGAAAATCGGAAGATTTAAATTGTATAACGTGGGTTTATGACACGTTTTATTACGGTACGAAAATAAGCCCCTTGTGAAACACGTGTTTCTCCACAGGCCTGGGAGCGGTCTCATCGTTATCTGAGTGGTCTATAAATACCGAAAAATCCCTGCGAAAACGCGTAGGCAAAAGGTCCTAAAATTGCATGTGGTATTTTTGGTAGTATATAAATACCGGAAAATCCCTGCGATAACTATCGAAATATTTAAAATATTAAAGTTAAATTTGGTCATAGTTAATATAAATATGAATAGTTGATTTAAATTTAATTTACCTATGACCATATTTAATTTTTTATTAACTATTTAAATGTCCAATTTACAGGGGGATTCCCTAAACTGTTGAATTGCTGAATTGTTGAAAATTCAACAAAAAATTTCAGCAATTAAGGGAACGACCCAAAATGGTTCCTGTTGAATTTTCAAACAGCTGTTATTTGTTGAAAAGTTTTACGGAACTTAAAGCATGTACAATTTGATTTTTTATCGCTAGTTACTGTCTAAAAGTGTTACCAAGGTAAAAAGAACCACAAATATGCTTTCTAAGTTAATTTTAAAATAAATAATGCGTACTGGTGATACTAAAATGTTACAGAGTTGCCACGACTTTTAAAAAAAAGGTGACAACTCTGGCTTTTCAGCAATTCAACAAAATTTTCATCAGCCCCGAGGCTGTTGAATTGCTGAAATTTCTGAAAGTTGACTTTGTATGGAACAGCTGATTAACAGCTGACCAAAATTCAACAATTCAGCAATTCAACAGTTTAGGGAATCCCCCTAATTTAACATATACAAATAAATCGATAACAGTGGTATCGAATACCATCTTCGAAACAAGGTGACTCGTGCATTTGATTAAAGATTGTTAGCCCTGGAAATGGTAAACAAACTACTGGTAAGAAATAGTTTTTTTAATGTTTATTTGGTTTATCCTGGTTTATTTGATTCTAGGACCATGGATAATGTGTGCCAATATTGCAAAGAAAGAAGAGGCTTGTCGGTCAAGCGTGGAGATTCAGTTCCGAAGATCATTTGCCTGCTGTGCCTGCAATTGGACGTGTTTGGCACAGAACACCAGTCGGAAGTCCAAATCAAGGAAGAGGAAATCATAATTGAGGACAATGTCCTACAGGAGGAATCCGCAGATAGGGAAAATGTCATTAACCAGGATTCCATAGTTAAGGAAGAGACTCTTGAGGAGGAGCCCGCAGTTAATGTAACGATAGCTGAAGAGGATCTCATAATTAAGGAAGAGGTTCTTGAGGAGGAAGAATACTACGTTATAACAGAAGGCCTGGAAGAGTCTGCGATGGAAACTTGCCTGGTTTGCCAGGAGAAGCACGAGCACATGGTCAATATATTTGATGACACGCAGGAGTCTGGAATTACCATTGCCACTATGATTTCACAGTCCATCGAGCTGCGAATCGAGAAGGGGAACTCATCTCCCGAAACTATTTGTCCAACTTGCCTAGAGTTTGTGCAAAATGCGTACGAAAGTATGCAAGCCAACGATAGGGATCAGCAGCTATTCGGCCAACCGAAAAACGAGATGGTCGAGGAAGATTTAATCCAGGTAAAAAACGAGCCAGTCGAGGAAGACCACTTCGAGGAAGTCCAATCAAGAGAATCCAAGCAAAAGCAGAAGGCAACACCCAGCGCAGTGTCGCCAACATTTCATTGCTACCATTGTACTTTGGTTTTGTCGGATCACATATCTCTAGCAATTCACCTCCGTAATCACGAGGAGAATGGTGATTTAGATCGCACCAAAGAACCGCCGCACAGATGCCCTCACTGCGACAAGATGTTCTTATACGCATCCAAATATAAAAATCACATTCGATCTCATGGTAAACCCATTATCGCGCCAGCTCCTCCACTCAAGTGCCCCCAATGTCCAAAGATATACTTTAAAGCCGGGAATCTTGAGGCGCACAAGCTGATGCACACGAAGGATAACACAAAAAATACAAAAACACCCCCGTTTAGGTGCCCATACTGTCCAAAAATATTCCTATACGACAGTTTTTTTCAAGATCACATGCAAACACATAAGGATAAGGAAAAGGAAAAGTTGTCACATTACAAGTGCCCCTACTGTCCGCAGAATTTCCTGCACCACGACTTGCTTGAAATTCACATTCGGACACATGATAGTCCGAAAAAGGAGCCTGCGGTAGTATCTTACAAGTGTCCTGACTGTCCAGAGGTTTTCTCAAACAATTTGCTTCTTAATGATCACATGGAGATTCATGGAGAATGCTCCCTCTGCCACAAGTCCTTCCCAACTGAAAAGGAAGTTCAATGCCACAACTGCGCTTTCAAGGCTATTAAGTGTCTTAAATACAATTGTAAAAAGCTCTTTCAATCCGAGCATTATCAGAGGCAACACTACCAGAGTCACTTGTGCTTAAAGTGCCTCACGTGCCAGAAAGAGTTTAGAAAAAAAGCTACTCTTACGAAACACATTCGTGTGCAGAAATGCATACAATTTCAAAGGAGTCAGTCGCCGGGCGAAATATTCCACTGTACGAAATGCCAGTTGACATTTCGAATAAAAGCCGATTTTAAAAAGCATAAGGCGAGTCATTCGAGGGATGATCCCTTTAAATGTACTCGTTGCCCAAGGGCCTTTGCGAGTTGGAATAATTTTTATTCGCATTATGTGAGGCACAAGAAGAAGTCACCCCACCGTTGTGACCACTGCCCGTTGTCATTTATAACGAAACAGCATCTTCAGAAGCACAAGCTTACACATAAAATAAGAGCCGATGGAAAAAGAAAGTGCAGCATTCGTAAAGTGGACTACAACGAAAGTAAGAAGTTCGTCGATGAAGATGAGTAGCTCAATCCGTGAAATGTAACAAATGAGTTGCATCCTGAGAATATACAACCCCCCAACCAACCAAATAAACACACAAAAGTACAATTTGTATTATATTTACTTCATTTTATTGTTTGTCTGACTTTGTAGCTTTTAAACATAAACTTATTTGACTAAGCTGAAAGTTGGATTCTCATGTTTATGTTCGTGTTCATGGTACTAATGACTAATGCGTTGGCTTAGACTAACTAACTAGGTGCTAGTAACTAGAACTAGGCTTGCGGTTGCTGCGGCTGCTCCGAATCTAACGCTATGTACATGCAACTTATGGTCTAACTGATTTTGAGCGTACGGTCTAGTTTGAAGATCTTTTGAAAGTGATCGCATCGCGCGCAATAATACAAATCTCTAAGCAAAAGACTTAAGACACGAACTTAGGCGTACGATAATGGGTTGGATGATGCGTAAGTATGCTTTGGTTTAATTCCAGCACTGCTAAAACCTAAACGAAAAACGAGTATGACTATGACGCAGTGGCCCAGCGGTCGGCATTCCAAGGCCAGTTAGCGCCTGCGGCCAACGTCGCCGGAAGCTGCCGCTGGGACTGAACTAGGCTACTAAATCCCCGCGATTTACTCATAAATTTAAATACACAGTATTTACACAAGTCGAGTAAATGTCTTAGCTCATTAGTGGCTCCCCTAGACGGCCACTATCTTGCTGGGATCCACCTTGACGCGCAGGAACACGGTATCCCCCTTGATGAAGGGCCGACTGTGCAGCAGTTCGTGGGAGATGAAGCGCGGGAAGCCGAATCCTAGCTGATCGGGCTCGTTCGACGGTCGCTGGAAGTTCTCCCAGGTGGGATCCGGCACGAAGGACTCCGCCACGCCGCCCTGGCCACTTTGGGCGCCCTGCTCGAACAGCGTGAAGGTGATGGAGTGCGAAAAGGGCCACTTCAACAAGGCATCGTACTCGCCGGGCAGGACCTTTATGTAGACAGAGACATGGGTATTCTCGCCGGGACCATTGCCATTGAGGAACATCGAGGCCTGCAGCTTGTAGCCATACTGGGAGGTGTAGAAGGGTGGCGATACCAGCTCGAGGCCATCTTTGCCCCTCGCCTCCGTCATCTTGGCCGACCAGTCGGTGATTTTCCACAGCAGCGTGCCCGTGTAGTTGATCGACAGCTTGGACACCGCCGACTTGAGCATCTGGATCTGCTGACCCTGCCGCGAACTGAGTGCCACCATCAGCGAGAGGTGGGCGGCGGCATTGCTCTCCAGGTGGGCCTCCAGCATCTGGCGGGGACCCTTGAAGCGGCAGCCCGCCTCCTTGAAGCTGCAGGACACGGCCAGCGACTGGCACTCGTCCCGCAGATGGGTCTCCAGCTCACCGCGGGCAATCGGACCCGCATCGCATCTCTGGGGGCAGGCCAACGGAGCCCGGGGGCACTGGGCCGCATGGAGGGGCAGTGTGTCCGCCGAGAATTCCCGCTGGCAGTGGGCACAACGTCTCAACCGCTTGGCGCAGTCCTTGGACTTGTGAAGGGTCATCCGACCGCGCAGGATCCTCTGGCCGCACTTGGCCTCGCAGTAAACCGGCTCCTGGCCGCAGCTGCCGTTGTGCTCCTCCAGTCCGGCGCCCGAGAATTCCGACTGGCAGAACTCGCAGCGGGTTCGCCGCATCGTGCAGGTGTACTGCAGGTGATCGGTCATCATGATGCGAGGAATCTGGGCTCCGCACTTGTTGGGACACTGGGTGGCATCGTGCTTGCAGGCGTTCAGGTGACCCTTCAGCTTTCGCAACTCATCGGACCACTTGCAGCCCTGTTTGTGGTGAATGCAGAAGACCAGGGAGCCCATGATGTGCTTGGGATCGGGACCGGGATAGATCTGAAATAAAAGAAGGGAAAACGGTGGTTAGTTTAATGAAAAATCTTTTAAATTTCTTAAAAATATGCTATAATATACAAGTTATGCCTATTTCTTACAAATATTCTTTATCTCAATTACCTTTTCTATATTTACCGAACTTATTTGCTTGCCAAAACGTTTGAAGAAACCCATGTGCGAGCTGACTTTTCAAGTGCGGAAGTTGAAGTGAAACTAATGAGTTCCCTGAGAAACCCCCTTCCTTATAAAGGTGTTTCAGATTTGCTTTCCCAGCCTTTCCTGATAGGCAGGAGATGGCACTTCTTATCTTCCGATCCCGAACCCCTCGACCTGTTTGCTGTTTATCCAGTCCATCGCAGATATTGATTTTCATTTTCCAGCTACCTGCCCGGCACCTTTTCACTGCATTTCCCTCGAGGGCTCTTCACACATGACTGCTCATGTCCCTAGGCACACACCCAGTGCCCAGACAGGCACTTCCTGTCCTACCTTCTAACGTTCTTTTCGGGCACTCTCCCAACTTCTCCAGCCATCGCTTGACTGACTTCGTAGTACTTTGGGCTTTAAAGAACTGCACCCGCTTCTGGTTTTGGATCCCCAGTTTTTCCCTTATGCAGTGCACTTCTGCTTTATGCTTTTAATTGCTGGGGACGGCAAGAGGAGTGCGACTTCACATCCGGTAGATTAAAATAATAAATTGCGTTGTTGTGCGAAAAATAAGATATATGTGAAAATATATATGCATATGACTCTCTGCGGTCGTCTAATCTAATTAAAACGCCCCCATTTCGAATTCCCAGCCACCCACATTTGGATATATGGTAATTGTTCGATCTGATGATATTTGACAAACCATTAAATCGGGGGAAAGAGAGATGTTGTATGGGATCTGTGGCTCCTAACCGAGCGTCGCGACATTTCCGGTTGACTCTTTTAATTGACCTTATCTGCAGTTTGTCGTGGGGCTTTGGAAGAGCGTGGCTTGACTTTTGATAAATGAACATGTCGCTGCATCTGTTTTCTGGTTCTGGTCCCAGAGACATAAAAGCGAAGATATAATAAGCAATTAACACATGAGCAGGGAGCGGGGATGGGATCCCATCTGCCCTCTGCCGAATGGGCGTAGTGGAAAAAAAAATAAAATATTATTTCTATGGAATCGCCTTTTGCTGGTAATTTCATTTAACGTGAAAACGAGTTTTGTGCTCTTTTTTCTCTGCTTCGCTATTTTTATGTCACTTGAAAAGTGGTGAACTGCGGTTGAACTCTCGATGGGGCCATGGACCAATTAGGTAATTGGACTTGGAAACTTGGAGGCTTTCGGAATCGAAGAGTTAAACCACCCACAGAGGACTTCGTTCAGGAAGTAACTGCCACTCAATCGGAGATGCCGTAAACAAATGGCCCATGTTTACACAAATTCGGCATCATGTAGTGAATGTGGATGGTTTAATGAAGAACATGCAGCAGCCTCCGAGGAGATCAGAGATCAAAAGCTGATCCCCGTCCAACTGTTTGTCAACCGGCTCCGAATGTTTACGGGGAAACCAAACAATTATGGTGCAAATGGAGGAGGGGAGAAAAAAAACTGAGGAGTAGGAAGGCTTTTTTTAGTGGCAATTACTTGCCGCTCTGCTAGGGTTAATTTACTTTGACTTCCACATCAGGGGGACCACACAAAGATGGAGGTCGTTTTCTCGATTTCGTTGGATGATTATATAATTAAGCCATCTTTGGGCAACTTTTGCGTTTTTCCTAATGCCAAAAATAAGCGAGGAAATAAAGAATATTGTTATTCAACTGCTCAGAGTCATTCGGTTTGATTGGTTCTTATGTAAAGCCGCAGACAAAGCCAATTGAAATTCCGATTCAGACACGAAAGCGTGGCCAAATTTCAGGCTTCGGTAATTAAAAAATAACATAAAAACGAATCAAATAAGAGACGGACAACGGACAACGGACAACGGACAGACAACCAAATCAATGCTCAGGCCAACGAAAGTGGAAACACACCGAACGCATTATTTATGGGCAACAGCAGTTGGCGCATTTTGTTTTATTTTTATGAAACTCCAATTTGGAGTCTCCTGGAGTGGCAACTTCCCCGCTCCACTTGGGAGATGGTGCATCGGCCCATGGCAGATCATAAAAATGAAGTTAGGAATAGGCAGGAAAACAAATTTATAATTTTAGACATCGAATTCATTCGATTCCCCGTAAGACATGTGCCTCCTACTTGGAATTTCCCCTACTCCTCCCCAACCAATTTCCACATTGCCTTAAAGTTCAAGGCGCTCGTAGACGAAGAAGTTTGTTTTTACTTTATGATCCGGCCTGGCTTCAATCAGACAACATCCCATTGTTGTTTATGCTTCTGTTGATAGTTTTTGGGCAGCCGAAACTTTTGGGTTCTGTTACTCTTGGGGCTTTATTAATAGACAAATTGATTGGGAGGCACTTTAATTTAAAGGGTTGCACTCCGTTGGGATTTCTGTGATTTGTTTGTGTGATTATCCAAATGAGTTTCCAAGTTATGCGGGATCGGGCTGAGTCTATTTAGGAACTGCCTCTAAATAATAACATAATAAAGACTAGGGGAAATATTATTACATGTTCCCACATAAATACAATAGAAGTTTACAATTTGATTAGCTCTAGAACTCTTGATTATTTCACATTTATGATAAGCAAATGCCAAACAAAGCATTTCGAACCCAATCTGAATGCAGGCATTATCTTCTCAGAATGTTCTACTATTCTACTGTTGGAGCACGATTTCTCGGCCTGCTAACCAAAAGATCATCAAATTCTGGGGCAAGGGGACTTAGCACCTTCCATTATTGGTAAAACCCCCCTCCGCCTAGATACCATTCCCCGCTGGGAGAACTTCCGTTTGTTCAGTTAACACAAAATATTCCCAACCAAAATATGTTGACGTTCATTTGTGTAATGCACAAAGGGAGAGATTGGAGTGGGGAACTTGGCATGGGTCTATCCCCCTTTTAAAAACGCCCCTGGCATGCTTTTTATTTGGTACGTGAGCATTGGCATTAGCTTTTTATATTTCGAGACTCGCCGGTCTGTGTTTGCCCAAGAAATTCTCAGCATTCATATGGGTATTCTAGT